ATTAATGATTGCATACTCACTACCTTTGACAATGAATGACAGATTACTGTACAGGAATTATCCTGCTAGGTTTTATCCTTGCCCGGTTAATTATCTGATGGGCTTTCAAAGTAATATTTACATGATAGGCATTGACAAGAAGCCAAAGATAAGAGGAATTAGTGACTTTGTGTTATCAGAACTTTATGGTCAGCAACAAAAGAATTGTAGAGCCATTGAAACTGATTGTAAATGATATCGTATCTTATACAACAACAGTCAAAGCAGTTTGGCTGAACATACCTGACATTTACTGTTGCAGGAATATGTCAGAATTGGTGGAAATTAGAACCAGCCAGAGGCAAACTCAGACTGAGCAAGAGAGTGTATCCCCCTTAAACATATTATCACTGTGCCACAGTGATACGATACAGAGTGGTGGAAAGATCAGTGTGTTCAACACAAGTCACAGTTAAACGTATCACCACAGAAATCGCAGTGAACTTAGTACCCCGGCTTGAAGGGTGATCAGGCCTATTTGAGATTGCCCAGACCCACCTAGCTAAGAATATTTCAATTTATTTTAGTTTTTTTTTCATGTAGCAAGAAATACAAAAGATAAACAGGAAATAGGACACAACTTCTCAGTAGCTTTCCTGTCCTTCAAAGTATTAAAACTCAGTTTTATAATCTGGGAGTTGATATGGAAAGAGTCTTACTCAGGGATCTCACTTTCATCTTATATATAGAGAGAAAGCTTCACACCTTTTCCTTCAAATTAACACACAGGCTCTGAGTTCAGCTTTTTTGTGGCCTTTGAGTTTCATTATATTATTTTCCTTATTTCTACCCAATCTCAACTTCTGAAATTCATATCTTGATGTGTCTTTGAGCCAACAAATAAGTCTGTGTTGAGAGGGCGGTGTTAGCTGAAGGTGAGTGTTTTGCTGAGTCTGTGCTTCTGTCGATCAAATTTGCAGCTTCCTGTGGAAGGATGGGGGTTTAGAAGATGAACTGCATGTTATAAATGATTCCTTATGTTGTGTATCCACTGCTCCAAGCTCTTGGTATTTTCTCTAGTGTAAAACTGAAGTTAGAGATTCAACATGTCTTCACTGATGTATTATTGGGCATCTTTAATAAGGTTCCATTTCACACTTGTCGGTCTGCCTGGGTGGAGTGATACTTTGGATTAGGGGAATGCTTGGCAAATGGAAGGGTTAAAAACTTGAGCTTTGTTTATGAACTTGGGAAGCACTTGGCTCTGCACAAGCAGCCAGGTGGATGTACTGACTTGACCTGCCTTGGAAGCACCTGTTTCTCCCCCAGTTCCCTCTCTTCAATCACTTGTCCACAGTTGCACATCATGCCCGGAAATTTCTTGTCAACAATGATGAAGTGATGCGAGAGTTAAGCATCTGGGAACAAAGGGGCACCTCAACTTGTAAAACAGCTTATTGTTCAAGAAGGAAAGGACTAGTTCCCTTTCAAAGGATTGCCACATGAGGAACTGAATAGTTTTGTTTAGTTTGAAGCATAAGTAACTGCCTATAGGTTACTGGTCTTGGGTAATACTGCAGTTGTGTTGACTTTACCATTTCATAAAGGGGAACCTGAAATTCAATGTTCTCAGGAATGCCAGGATAAACATCTATTTTCACTCTTAAAATGGACTGTGATTAATTATGCTGCTGGGAACACCAACAAAAGTTTTAAAGCAGGTAATCCCAGGACCACTTTGTGGTGCCTTGCTCACATTCACAGTGGCCAGGGAAACACACACGTGCTCCCCTAGGCCTGCAGCTCTGACCAGCCAACTGATGACGCAGACTTCCCCATTCTTTATTCCTTTTCTAAATGGATGCATTATGCAATTATATCAATGCCCATGATGCTAATATCACCCACATGTTATAACAATTCCTGAATTTCTGTCTACATCTCTGTTCCCACTCACGCGTCTTATTATGCACGTGGCCTACTGATGGTAAATTCACCTCCTACTTTCTAAGGACCCTGAATCCTCCTTGTCTATTTTGGTCCTTGTCTTGCTGCACTAAGTGCAGCAGCATTCACCTCAGTGCCTGCTTGACTTCCTCCCCTCTTCAATCCCTATCAGAACAGCTTCAATTCTAAGAAGTAGGATGAAAACCGAAGAGCAATTGCCCATGTTGAGGCCCTTGACCTTGCCAGCCAGGATTGTCTTTGAGCAGTTTCTGTGGTTTGAGGTTTTTTCCCCCCACCATTCTAAGTCTACCTTCCTGTTTTCTGTGGAATATAGGAATTATTATACTCATGACCTTTTTTTTTTTTTTTAACATGGTCTTACTGTATATCCTGGATTGGTCTTGATTTTCTTTTCTACCTGCAAAATTTCTAACCATTCCAACATTTCCAACCCCAAAACACCTCCTTATTAAACTCTTTAGTAATGTTCTCATTCATACCATTAATGTGATTCCACAGAACACTGATTATAGTTCCAAAACAAATTATTGTTTGTATCAATTGTCATTGACATCTATGTTTGCATATTCCTCTGAATAGACAGCGAGTTATTCTTGGTATTGTTCATGGGGTTGTCACAATAACTTGATACAGCCCTAAAACCCTCACAACACGCATTCTCTCATACCCTGGAGTTATTTTTCTGCTACATCACTTATACTGGTTACAATAGTTACCTGTGTGCTTAGCTATTAAATTTTTGTCTTTCTGGTAAGATGATTGCTTCAGCCATTTATATCTACCACCTATTCATATCTACCACCTACCATAACACTAGTAGATTAGTAGATTAGTGTGCATTCAATAAAAAGCACCCTGAGTAAGTACAGCCGTGGAACACCAATGACCCTCATGGTATTGAATGGTATTGAATCTGTCAGGTGATTATAGGGACAGAAATTTGTACTACTGTCCTCACTGACCATAGAGTCACAGTCAACACTTCTAAAACAAAAGACAGGCTGAGAAGAAGCATACATAACAGTCACAGTCAACACTTCTAAAACAAAAGACAGGCTGAGAAGAAGCATACATAACAGACGTACTGAACAATGACATTATATATGACATGAGCAAGCTCAGAGATTGAGACCCAAAGGCCCTGAACTGCCCCTTTTAATGCTTACATATGATGAGCGATGAACACAGAAATGGGACTGGACCAAATGTATGTGACCTCATGCTAACAGAGGAGATAACACAGCAAAGCCTGTGTGTGGTTCTTCTTTGTCTCTTTGTGTGATATAACTGGCTCCTAAGAACAAAGCAAGAATCCTAGAATGAGCTCCTTAGGTCTACTATCCGTTGAGGTGAATCACAGGATTTTTTTTTATAGCCAATGATTAGTCAGCTTTGCATCACTACCAAAAAATACCTAAGGCAGTGAATTTTATAAAGAGAAAGGGTTTAGTTAGTTCTTAAGAGTGTCAAAGTTCATTTGTTTGACACTGATGATGACAGCACTCATTGGATATCCACCACACCAAGGCTGAGGTGCTTGTGTGTGGAAGATCTTAGATTTCCAAACAGGAAATCAAAGAGAGATATTGGTATTTCACAATCCCTTCTAAGGGGTATCTCCAAAACATAAGGACCTCCCACTGGGCCTTACCCGGCAAAGGTCCGCCATCTCCCAACAGCACCACCTTGTGGGCCAAGCATTAGTTATAATGGACCCTTGGGAGACTGCTCACATTCAAAGCAAAGCAGCCAGCCCTGAAAGCTTCAGTGCTGCCTTTTCGGAAGAGGGGCTCTCATTTCTATAACTCCTTTCAAGAGACAAGAGCCCTTAGATTGTATGGCCCTCTTTGGTGAGAAAAGGGAGCAAGAAAATGGAAGACAGCATCTGCGGGCCTGTGCTGTCCGGAGTGCGGTCATTCGGCACAGGTTGCTGAGACTCAATGTGACAGGGTGTATCTGACTTTGTTCTTTTTCTTGTACATCCTTAGGCTCAACAGAACCCACTGAGAATACAAGCATGTGGCATAGTGCCCTTTCCTATGTTTATTTTAGGTATCATAGATACTTTATTTTATGTTAACTGAAAGTAAGAAGTTTGCATTCACCCCCTGATAACTTGATGTAGTATAAAGGCCATTAACTCAAGAATCTATTCCTGAATGAAACACCTCCCTACCTCCCTCTTCTTTCCTTCCTTCCTTCCTTATCCCCTTTCTTATTTCTTTCCACCTCCTCTTCTTTTCTCCACTCTTTCGTTCCTTCTTTCTGTGTTTCTTTCTTTCTTAGTATTTGATTCATTATGCCTTCAAATACAAAAAATTGAACCCTATTTATAAATGATTTTCTTTTACGTTATGAGATTATAAAAGAATAACTTAGCACATTCAGTTATCCATAAAGTGAGTCTGTATTAAGATGTGTGATCCCTGAACACATTTTCCCTTTGACAATCCGTACTGAGATGGTGTTTTGCAGAGATATTTTCTTCCAAGTGTTCCTCCCTCAGGAGTGCTGCATTGCAACTGCTGTCAGCCCCGCGTGGAGGATTAAAACAGTATGAACTCGCCGGGCGGTGGTGGCGCACGCCTTTAATCCCAGCACTCGGGAGGCAGAGCCAGGCGGATCTCTGTGAGTTCGAGGCCAGCCTGGGCTACGAAGTGAGTTCCAGGAAAAAGGCACAAAGCTACACAGAGAAACCCTGTCTCGAAAAAAACAAAACAAACAAACAAAAAAAAAAAACAGTATGAACTCCTGCGTGTCACACAACTGCTCTCTTTGTTTTTCTCTTCTTCCTGTTCAACTTGCACAGCAGACTCCACACAGGCCAGCATCCAGCGCACTTTAGCAGGAAGTTACCCTGAGGTAACAGGAGAGGCAATGTAAAGTGATCAGTCTCCAAAAGGTAATTGATCTTCTATTCTATGAGACTATAAAAGCAACGACAGAGTTAGCACAAGAGGAAGGAAGGAAAGCGGAGCACCTAGGTAGCTGACTTCTGGTGAGAGGAGGAGAGAATGCTTCGTTTAGAGTTACCGGTCAGGCGCTGGGACAAAATGGTGCCTACCATTTTGCTCAGTGCCCTTCTGCTTCATCTCGCTGATGCTGTGGCTTCAGAACCGTAAGGGAATTCTAAACTCTCTGTATCAAAGTACTGGCAATGCCGTCTCATTAAATAGATTCCATGTTAAAATGTGGTTGGTTCATTATTCTATTTCAACTTTAGTGAGTGCGGGTTTGCCCTTCAAGTGTTGAGCAAAAACCAAGTGTTAAGAATGGATGCCCTTAAGACACCATTGTGAGCATCTGTTTAATCATAATCCTGCCTGTGAAAACTGTAGAGTTTGGGAAATCCTTCAATAGCTCAAGTTGATGTTTGTGGGCGGTCGACTTGACAGAGTGCTGACTGTTCTCTCTGTACAGGCGATACATCCTGTGGGTCTCTTCTGTGGTACAGCGCTTTTCCCCAGAAAAAGCCTGCCTTCATCTTTTGAACCTCAACGAGTCTGTGTCCTTGAGCGTCACCCTGGAATATGATGGATCCACTACTACTATTTTTGACCAGTCCGTGGAAGCGGGGAACTTCTACGCTTGCACAAATTTCAAAGTGAGGCACCAAATTTAATGCAGCAGGAGTGAAAGTGGGAATGTGGACTTACTCTCTTAAAGTTGCTTTTCAATAACTTTCAAATAACAAATTTGGAGTGATTTGCAAAATCTAGGGGGGAAATGTGAAAATTTCAAGAGAAACAAAAAAGGAAAAATTTTAATGTGCAGCATATATTGCTGCTGTTGTTGACAATTTTCTATTATAGGAAATGATAAGGTGATTGCTATTTTAGAGAATGAATGTGTTTCATGGACTCTAAAAGGAAAATGAAGGTTAGGGGTGAAGGGCTTTGGTTCAGGACAACATGAAAAGAAAATAGACAGCAAGAAGGCAAGAACCTGGATTTATTTTAAAGTACCTTTATACTGAGTTAATAATTTTCAACAGGTGATCAGTGAGGTCTTTGTTAGGAAGTAAGGAGTTTACAAGGCTTGGACTGTCTGACCATCTAAATTAAGACTCACAATCTTCCCATCTCTGCTCTTCTACATAAACAGGTGTCTCAGACATCCTCGGAGCAGTTGGCCTTTGTGACATTACTTGCTGAGGGAAACACTCTTAAAATCTCGGAAAGGAGAGCTGTAGCAATCGCTGCTGAGGAGAATGCAACTTTTGTGCAGACAGACACACCCATCTACAAACCTGGAGACACCGGTAATTCCCTTTAAAAACACATTCTCCAAATTAACATATAAAATTTAGTAAAGCTCGTCTTTAATACTGTTGACTGCTGCACTCCCATCATCTCTGGATCAGGAGCTAGTGTTCATAAATTGTATACAGACCCTACTGATGAGGCTTCATGGTACAGTGGTTACCAGCACAGACTGCAATGTGCAATTGTTTCATCTAAACCACTGGTCCATAACATGCCTATTTGACAAGCTCGTTCATTTTCTTTTTCAAGACAATTATTTCATCCTTGGAGTAGAGATAATGAAAGTTTCTTGGGACTTTCAGGGAAGAAATGAGAATCATTGTACGAACAGTGCCAATCACAACAAAGCTCTCACCAGCAACATTTATGAGTTCTATTGTTCTATTTTTATATTCATTGATATAACATGTGAAAGTCAGAGCCTTTCTGCTTTCTTTACAATTGTTCCAAGCAGAATGTGGCATTCAGAACACCAAGCTATAATTCAAAGCAGTTTGCTTCAAATCTTGGCTCTGTTAATCAATGATTGACTTTTGACAAGTAAATTCTGATCTTTGAGATTTAATTTCTTCATTTGTAAAATTAAGGGTTTAGAGATGAAACCACCTGTGTATTCTGTCCTGATTTTTTTTTTTAAAAAAATAGCTGAAAATAGACTTTATTTGTGCTTAAACAACAGACATTTATTTCTGGCAGTTGTAGAACCTACAGATGTGACAGTGTCAGAAGTGGTTTCCTCCAAGGAGTCTCTACTGGGCTCTCACTGACATGACCGTGTCTGGGGCAGGGGAATTCCTCCAAGGAGTCTCTACTGTGCTCTGAATGGCCAGCTTATGTAGACTTCTTTCACTTTTCTTTTATAATTAATTTTAAGTCGGCACACAGAACAGTGAATTTTATTATGACATTTTCACATATAATATGGCAAAGATAATCCTTAAAGAGATTTTCACTTCCTGATATCCTCTTTACTGCTCTTATTAAAATACTAGAATGAGTGGTACATTCACAAGAGCCAACATCTTTCATTTGTAGTTCTGTTAAAATAATTTTGCTTAATTTTGCTAACATCGTCTTCAAAGAAAATTATACTTATCCCCTCCCATAAATGTTTCATAGTTGTGCTTCTGTGGATTATTCTGTCACTAAGTCTGTTCCAAGATATCCCAGTCTTACGTCTTATGGCCAATAGGGTAAAAGTTTCTAACAGTAGCTGGTGTCAGCATTGGAGACAACAGGAATCATTAACAAAGGGACAATAAATACAAAAAGAGATTTTCCCCCATGGACTCCTGACCTCAAAGTGTCAAATGAGAGCTAGAGGGAAGGGGATGAAGTGCTCTGTGATGGAAAAGCAATTAATTAAGTACATATTTAAAAGCAATCATGACTATAAGGTGGGAATCACAAGAAGAACACTTTATGGCCTTGCCTTCTGTCCTTCTAGTTCACTTTCGCATTGTGACACTGAACACCTGGCTCAAACCTGTTGACGACGTGGTGAGTCCATGATTTCTGATGGTACAATGAAATTCAAATCTATTAATCAAATCCATTGCTATACAAAGCACCATTCGGGAATGTAAGTCAGCGTAATTCAGATGCCTGCACGTCCATGCTTATTCCTGTACTACTCACAATAGCCAAGGTACGGAACCAGCCTAGATGTCCATCAGCAGACGGGTGGATAAAGCTGATGTGGTGTATGTACATGATGGAGTTTTATTCAGCCAAAAAGAATGGAATTAGTCATTTGCAGAAAAATGAATGGAACTCGAGTTCATAGTGTTAGGTCAAATTAGCCAGACTCAAAAGATAAATACCATGTTTTCTTTCATATGCAGAGTTATATCAAAACACACACACACACACACACACACACACACACACACACATGAAACAGGATATCATGAAGGTAGAGAAACGGTTCTAAAGGGAGAAGAGACAGAGAGAGTAGGGGAGAGAGGAAGAGAAAATACCATGATTTCTCTCATATGGGACTTAGACTAGACTTAGCTATCTATTTACACACACACACACACACACACAAGCGAAGGGGGAGGTGGGCAGACAGGAGAGGGTATAATGAAGTGAATCCAAGCTCGATACAATGATATACGTGTGTGAAAACATCATAACCAAGTCCATTGTTTTATACACTCACTAAAAACAAAATAATTAAAAAAAATAAACCTTGGGAGCAATACTATTTGGCAAAAGAATATCTCACTAAAGTGTTAATCTGTGTTTTTTCTTTCAGTACCCTTCAATCACCCTTCAGGTAAGACATCTACTTTCCATGTCCAGTTTAAAACATCCAGATTAGGAATGGCATGATTTCAGTTTTTAGTTTTATATAACTAAAAGTTAAGATGACTGAAACAAATGGGTAGAAGTAGGTTTAAAATATAATTTTAAAGACCCTGAAGCTATCTAGGAATACTGATTTCTTGTCCATGAATCCTGAAGAGTAATGTGCCGGGAATTTGAAAACAAAAATGTGTTTATTTTTCCCCACTGTATGTTATGGTTCTAAATCGTATCATCATTGATAAATAAACGTATTTTGTTGATTTTTTTATTAGATGTCTTGCACTTATTATTTAATTGGCTGTGCTTACAGCTTGCTTGTAAATAGCAATCAATCCCTGTATTTTTTTTCCTCTGCATACAGTATGTTGTAGCTAGAGTTTTCCTGCCTGGCCCACAGTCAGGACAAATCTTTGTCACCCGCCAGTCCCACAGCTGCTCAGACCCGACCAAGTAAACACGGCCATACAGTTTGTAAGCAATATAAGTCTCTGTGTTTACTTGGTCGGGTCTGAGCAGCTGTGGGACTGGCAGGTGAGAGAGATTTGTCCTGACTGTGGGCCAGGCAGGAAAACTCTAGCTACAGTATGTACTGCCATTATTAGTTAATTCTGGAGGTTAATATGGAATCTAGGATCATAATTCACAGTAATGTGGGCAAACACAGATACTGACAAACTTCCAACTGACCTGTCTAATATTTAGATGCCTTAAGCTTTTCATATTGGTAACATCCTTAAAATGACATGAATCCCAGGTTAGCCAGTCTCCTGTTCTCTGCATTACTCAATAGTTCGCTTTCGCTCCTGATCCGGCTACTGCTGTGTTCTGTTGAAAGAAACACAAAACTCGACTAAGGTTGACTTAGATGAGTAAATGTTCACCATTCATGAGTCACAACATGTCCGTGTGGGCCCTCAGAGCAGCACCCGTGTTACCGAGTGTGGTGGACTGTGGTGTTTTAGCCACAATGCACATGAAGTCTGGTGGTTTAAAAGTAATTTATTCTTCTCTGTGACATCCACTCACATATAAGCCAGTGTGGGGTCTGGTGGGCAGCCCTGAAGGAAAAAGAGGTCTAGGATATTGAATATTCCAAACTCTAAAGTGGAGGAAAACAATTCATCAAAACCTTTGAAATAGTCTGTGACAGTTTTGTTTCCTTACATAATCTGTTAAACACGATCTCTTTAAAGAAATCTTTTGAACATCCTTAATCAGAGTTGGAAAATGTAAAATATTTTTAGAAGTAAACGTGTGTGTGGCAAGGTGCTCACAGCAAATGAAGAAGATTGCATTCTGATGACTGTCCCTGCTTTTTAAAATCATAGAAATTCCACATGGTTGTTATTAGATAATCCATGACCAACTGTCCAGACCAGGTAGAAATTTCTGACAAAAATAATTTTCAATTAATTAAAAAATAATATTGTAATCAAATTAATTAAAATTGGTGGTTAATAAAATTAATAATTAATAATATATTGATTTAACTACATGGGTATTTTGCTGGCATGTATGTAGTTGCACTACATGCATGAAATACCTGTAGACACCAAAAGGTGGCGTCCGATTCCCTAGAACTGGAATTACAGATGGTTATGAGCCACCACGAAGGTGCTGATAATAGAACCTAGGTCTTCTAGAAGAACAACTAGTGCTCTTAACCACTGAGCCATCTCTCTAGCCCCTGTGAGAGTCATCTGAAATGTTTGTTAGGATTAGTGTCCCCTTATGTACTCATTGATTATGAGTCCACTCTGCTTTGGGAAGCACTGTTCTGGACTAAGTGTGTTGAATTTTTAATTCCTTGATTACACTACTCTGCTTTGGAAACATAAAAATCATAGGTGTCAGTTATAAATTTTTTTCATATGAATTTTAGTTTTAAGAGAAACATCAATTGAATTTGGATATGTTGGAGTAGTTACATGGATTTGAGGTCATTAATTAAGCATTATAGTAGTTCATTCCTTACTTCCAATAGCTATGAAGGACATTCACAATAAGGAAAGCATAATTTTCACACACAACCTCTGATTGTCCTTTATTCACTGTTTTCAAGGATCCCGAAAACAATGTGATTTTTCAATGGAAAAACGTGACCACTCTCAGAAACATCACCCAGCTCTCTTTCCATCTGAGTCCAGAGCCAATGTTTGGGGATTACACAATCGTCATAAGAAAGCAATCAGGAATGACAGTGGTGCATCAATTCACCGTTAATCAAGATGGTAACCAAGTACTGCTTCTGGTTCTCCTACAGACGAGTTCAAAGCAACAGAACAAAACTTTTTGGATCCAGGCGAAAAAGACATTGGGTCTCTGCTGCTTGCTTTTCTGTCACATCCTCAGTCCTTTTGCCCAGGTCTTGACTCTAATCCTCGCTTAAGGAATATCTCATTTTCTGAGATTCAGATACTCTCTAGAAAAGATCGAAGAGCTAAAACATAAAAAAGAGTGAAGTTTTGAGGCTAGCCAAAATAAACAAAAATAAACAAGCCACCACCAAAAACAAGCAAGCAAACAAACAAACAAAACCCACAGAATAATTGATCTTTAATGAGGTACCATCACAGACCCCGGTACGCCTCAGGGCTCGTGGAGGAAAGCAGCATGCATGGAAACAGTTTGCTCTAGATGCAGGAGCTTTGCTGTCCAGAGACTGTCAGCTGAAGTGTGTTTCTTTGTTTTCAGTACTGCCCAAATTTGAAGTTGAGGTCAGTGCGCCAGGGACAATAACTATTGCGGACGATCAATTTCAAGTGGCTGCATGTGCAAAGTAAGTGTTCGCTCAGATTTATCCCCACAGGGTAAACTAATGTAAGTTTAATCGTGAAATGCTAGTTATACACTTAGAGTAAACTTATTGTAGAAAATTTTAAATGTTTGATAAATATAAAGAAAAGCCTAAAAACAAACTACAGTATATTTTACCAATTTCTATCATAGTATAGCTGACTTTCCTCTAATACTTTGTGAAAATTTCCCCCTGTTATATTTATTCTTTTCTTTCAAATTTATCTAATATTTAAAAAACACATGTCTCCACGTTTTGCTAGTCTTTCTGTCTATTCCAGTTCCTTGCCTTGTAAGCATATCTTCGTATGCAAATGGCAATTTTACTTAATTATTGTTCTACTGTATAACATGTAATCTGTTACATTGTGCTTTCTAGTAATTAAAACATTGGTAGTAGGTGTCTTCTGAAAAATTGCATAATAGCCTGATTTAGAACTGAAAATAGTTTACTTAAGAAGGATTTCACTAAAGGTAATTACCAAGTCAAAATGTATACTGTTCTTTTAGTCTTTTAAATGTCATGTTGCTTACCTAACTCCAGCTACTGGTATGAAAGAACGTACTGGCTTCACTGAATCTTTACCGTCATTGAGTGTTCTCATTTTTAAAAAGGAAGGGAGGGAGTAAGGAAAGAAAATTAGCTATCAAAATTTCATAGAAATAAAGAAGTTTATAATTTAGTTTGAATATATTTGAGTTCCCTAACATAAAAACATCTTATCTGCTCTTGGGAACATTTATCCTCTCTTTGGGAAATTATTTCTGACACTCTTTATCCTTTTTGTGATATCTTTTTTTAAAATTTATAACAATAATGTAAAAAGCTAATATTTATTAGGTGTCAGCTATAAAAATTATTCCCACAATGTCATGAGATGGGGATTGTCATCAACTCATTTTTATAGCGAAAGATAAGCCATGAGTATTGGGATAACATCAGCTTTGTGAACCTTCTGATGACCGGATAGTTACACCTAGGCAGTTTAGCTTCACAGTTATTCTGTCGATTGGTAACTGTGCCATCCTATGAACACACACCCGGTGAGAGTTGTTGACTGCTTTAACAGGTGACATAGAAATACTAACCTTTGGATATTTTTGAATATATTGAAGTTGCAGTCTGGAAAGGGCTACCTGGTGAACACATGAGGGGGTTCTTCATAATCTCCCCCAAGGAATCTTGGAATCAGGTCTGTCTCTCTCAGAGAAGGATTATAACATTTCTGAGTTTCAGTGCAGAGTGTTCCAGAAAGCTCATTTTCCAATACTTCTGACAGATTAAATATATTTTAAATTTTTACTCATTAAGTTTTTCTTCACTGATATTTTAAATCATCTAAAACTGAATGTAACTGTGAATTTGGTTTTGTTTGTTTGTATGTTTGTTTGTTTCAAAAATCAGTCGTGTCCTCTTCATAAATCAAATGCCCAATTTTGCCTAAATTCTGTGGAGAAAATAGCCTCATGGCTGATTAGATGGAAGCACTCAGTTTCAAGGCTTCATGTGTGATTTCTGATGAAGTCCATACATGTCACTATGATACTGCCCATTTGTCATCATGGATGCACATTTTCTCACTAGGTACACCTATGGCCAGTCTGTGCAGGGAAAAGCCCAGATCCGGGTGTGCAGAGAATTTTCCTCCTCTGGTTACTGTGAGAGTGATAATAAGGAAATATGTGAGCAGTTCACTGCACAGGTACAGTCCATGGGCTTGCTCCACAGGGACGTTCTCACTTCGCTTCTCAGAGTGATTTTATTCCTCTTACAAAAAGATTCACAGCATTTTCCTGTGTGGCTAGCGGAGGTTAGAGCTAAGTGAGGTGAAGAACATGGAGATAATGCAATGTTCAAAATAATGCCTTGGCTTCTAGGTGCTTTTACCTGTAAGTTTTCAGACCCACAAAGGAGCTCGTTGGTTTCCTTACATTCTGTACTATCTGGATGGTCTCCACAATCTTTCCTTGGAGGATCCTTTCTCAGGCAGTTCATTTGGAAACAGCTGCAATCCAGGGTGTTCTGTGTGCATAGACCTCTGTTCTCCTCCATTCTAAATCCTGTTTATGAAAACCTCACCTATTCTCCCAGGTTTTATCATCATTAATATATTTTTGTGCATGTCTGTAAGTCATTGACCTTAATTTTCATCTTTTTAATTCTTTTTTAAAATATATTTTTTATCCATGTGCATGCATATGTCTACATGATGGATACAATAATACTGCCTAGACCAAGTGATAGTTTTGAGGGTCAAATGAGTTGGTGTACCCTTCTCATGTCTAAACTCTGAAGTTAGTACATATTTCTTATTTTAAAAAATAACTAAATTTACAGTTTTCTAATTATTGTTGTTAGTAGTGGAAAAGTACGTTTCCCCTATTTCAAATAATAGACCTTAACAAGTGTTGATATCCTTCATTTAAAGGGTGTTGGTCGATCTGGTGTTAGTGTTTCTTCTGGGATTGGGGGCTTCTTAATTCTTCGGATATGGTTAGCTTTATTCTCCCCCTTTAATTGTTTCATGCCTACGTTACTTTGAGAAGAATGTCCTTGAGTGTGTAAAGCATGGATATCTCCCTCCTCTTGATGTACATCTTCTCCCACTCAATCTTCCTGCTTTAACTCTTTTTTTATTGGTTCAGTAACTTACTGAGGGAGACCTGGGTGTGCAGGGATGGGATGTACCCGTGCTGAAATTCCATGAGACTCTTGGATCCCTAACTTTTTTCATTATAACTCTGTTTGTTTTTTCAGCTGAAAGATGGCTGTATTTCTCAAATTGTCAATACAAAAGTCTTCCAACTATACCGCTCTGGATTTTTCATGACATTTAATGTTAATGTAATGGTTACAGAACTTGGAACAGGTAATGATAGTATTTTATGGACAACTTGGGAATACATGGTGGCCCACTGAGAAAAAAATATGGAGTTAGTAACATCATTTATTAATTATGAATTAATTACTGCTCAAAATGGTAAAAAGAAGCGTCTTTAAAGGTGGCTTTGTGGGGAATGGAACCACTGAATCCTCAGCCTCCCATCTGCTTAGGCAGAAAGCATTCTACCACTAAGATACATGCCCCGCCCTGACGGGGTTTGTGCAAAAGATTAATTCCTTCTTGACACTATGTTTCATCATTTCTTACAGGTGTGCAGATCAGTAAAACACACCCTGTTTTTATTACGTCAGTGCTTGGCAGCGTGAGCTTTGAGAACATGGACTTTTTCTACAGGAGAGGGATCACTTATTTTGGAACCGTAGGTTTGACTAGACTTTTAAGAGGACCTTGTTTGGTTTTCTTTGTCCACAGATTATCCCTTGAAAATTTCTAGACACTCTTTTCTAGGCTCACAATCCACTTTTAACATTACTACATCTGGTATGTTTGGAAAGTTCTAGGCTAAAAGAAAGCTGTGTATAAAATGGCAGCTTCTCCCGTTTCGTATGTAAACACATCTACACCATTAGTTGATGGATATTTCTAGTCAATGTAATTTCTGTTGAGTGATCACTATCATGAATTGAAATTTTCCTGTAGAAATGAGAAGTTTTGTGTCATAAGAGTATTAACTTTTCTGCTTTTGTACAGCTTAGATTTTCTGGTCCTGATAATACACCGATGGTGAGCAAGCTTTTGCAACTGGAGCTCAATGACAAATTTCTAGGAAATTATACCACAGATGGGAACGGGGAAGCTCGATTTTCCATTAACACTTCAGAGATATTCGATGCACAGATCAACCTAAAAGTAAGACATCCAAGGGTGGGCAGAGACTGTGAGGAATCCCACAGAGGCCCAATGCTGGGGACTCAGAGCCTGAGAAGGCTCTTAGAGGGTAGGGTATTTTCTGTAACTTGTTTGTCCGTTACTGAAGGGAACTCGGTAAGAGCAGAGTTCAGACAGTGAGATACTAATGTTCTCTTACAGTGACTCTATCATGACCAACATTTCTGCTGTGGAATTAGAAGCAGCATGTAAGAAGAGCTGGTCTTTTCCCTGACATAATTCTGTGCATAGATGGGAGATGCTATGAGACCTCCTTCCTGAAACTTGCACAGAAGTTTGCAGTTAAACAGTTTATCATGGCTTATGTACAGGTGGAGGATACAGAACTTATGCCCAATTCTCTGACTAATTAAAAGTAAAAAGCCAGAACATAGTAGTGATGCCTGTAATTAAAAGTAAAAAGCCAGAATGTGGTAGTGATGCCTGTAATTCTAGCACCCAAGATGCTGAGACAGGAGAATCTCGAGTTGCAGGCCACACTGGGCTACATAGTCCATCATCCCCCAACCCTCCAGCACACACGCATACAAATTACAAAACCTAACAGTTCACTGTTGGTCCAATTAGACAGTCACATAACCATGGTCATTTTTTATATACAAGAAAGAGAGAATGGCATTATTATCTTACTTTGCATGAGTCAGTTCTCTCCTTCCACCACAATGGCCCCACAAATCAAGCTTGGATGGCCAGGCTTGGTAGCAAATGCTCTTGCATGCTGATCCATCAACCAGCCTCCCCAGTAACAGCTATGAGCCAGGTTCCTCCCTGCTCTGAAGAGACGAGAAGCCTTGCTTGCTGAAGTATAGCCGTCTTTGGAAGTGTCCGTCTGTCATTCTGAAGCCTTTCCTTTGTTCCTGTCATGTCAGGCCGCATATGTCCGACCTAGAACCTGCCATCATCCCAGCTGGTTGGACCCTGAGTATTTGGACGGCTACTTCTCGGCCTCCCGCTTTTACTCCCAAACCAACAGCTTCCTGAAGATTGTTGCTGAGTCAAAGCAGCTCCCGTGTAATCAAGAGAAGATGGTTTCAGTACTTTACTCCCTAAACCCTGAGGCCTACAAGGATGACTCAGGTGTAAACTTCTTCTATTTGGTAAGTCTCAGCTGGTGGATCTGTCTATTCAGCACAATCTGGTTGAGGAGGTGAAATCTCAGGCCTTGTTAATCTGAGTGAGCTCTATCTACCCACTTTGCTGTTGAATACTCCTGGCTCCACGAACACAGGAACAGGCTTGCAAAATAGTCCCAGGCAATCTGGGACTCATATTGCAACACTTGTTTCTTCAACCAGTCCGTTATACTTCACATCAATTATTTATGAGCATGTGTGAGGGTGAGTAACGTGGAAAGTTCAAAATGATGAACAGTAAAGGAGGTTGTTCTCATTTCCTCTTGTCAAGGCTTCCCGGAGAGAGAAACCATGCTTGGAAATTAAGACATCCCTGCTTCCATCCCCCCACTCTCTCCTAGCTGTCAAGCATGTGTGTTCACCTTGGACACATTGTTCAGACTCTCTAAGCCCTGGCGTTCTCAGCTGTATATTCCTAACTGGAAACAAGAGTGGAATCAATTAGACTCACCAACTAGAGTAGCAGGCTTGAGGCACTGTTAAAGAGTTTCATGTGTATCAAGTCACCTGGTCAGCCTTATGGGCATTCCTTCACAGCATGGAACAGTGGCAAATGGATAGACAATGGGCAGGCCAAATCACCAGCTTGCATATGCATTAGATGGCTTCACAAAGTTTCTGGTATTGTCTCTGTTCCAGCCCAAGATGTGCGAAGTTCCCTTTTAATATTTGTTAGTGGAAGCTGCCTTGTTACAGGACAGAACAGTCACTAGATCAGTCCACAGTGACATGAATGATGTTAGCTACAATATTCACACAGGGTCAGTCTACAATGACATGATATGATGTTAGCTGCAATACTCCCCCAGGGTCAGTCCATGATGACGTGATATGATGTTAGTGGCATACTCACACAGGGTCAGTCCACGATGACACGATACGATATTAGCAGCAATACTCACAGAGGGTTTTCTTTGTCTGGTACAGGTGATGGCAAGAGGAAGGATCTTCCTCAGTGGACAGAAAGAAGTCAGAAGCCAAGGTAGATACGATGCACTTGCTTTGAAATATGCATCTTATCTTCATGCTTTTTTTCTAGAAGTTAGGAAGGGCACTTATTTCCACTTGCAGTTGGAGGGTAGTAGATAGCATGGCTTGAGATAACATACAGAATAGTTTGAACAAGGAGATTGCTACCTTTCTATCATTGCTCTAGTTTGCTTGCTGTTGCTGTGATAAAACACTGACCAAAAGAAACTTGGAAAGGAAAGGGTTATTCATCTTATATAATAATTCCATCATGGAGGGAATTGGGGCCAGGAACTCAAGGCAGGAACCTGGAGGCAGGAATTGGAGCAGAGACCATGGAAGAACACTGCTTACTGACTTGCCCAGCCTGCTTTCTTATACCTCCCAACTCTACCTATTCAGAACTGGCACAAACCGGAGTGGACTGGGCCCTCCCACATCAATCATTAGTCAAGAAAATGCCCCTACAGATATGCCCACAGGCCAATCAGATGAAGGCAATCCTTAATTGGCTTCCTCTTCCCAGGTGACTCTAGTTTGTGCCAAGTGGACTAGAATTAGCTGGTACCATTTCTATCAGTTAATCATGTATATTATAGAGTGATGTCTAAGACATTCCTATTGTAATATCGTCTTCGTCTGTGTATAAGTCCCCGCGTCTTATCTGCATTTGAAGAAGGCCCAGTTTACTTTTTCTGTCCACAAACCATTCTCTTTCATCTAAGCAAACTCAGAGATGTGAGTTAGAGCCAACACCATGTCGTCTGTGAATTGCCTGTTTCCACAGCCTGGAGTGGAAACTTCTCTTTCCCAATCAGCATCAGTGCTGATCTGGCACCAGAGGCTGTCCTCTTCGTCTACACCCTCCACCCCGGTGGGGAAATCGTTGCGGACAGTGTCAGACTCCAGATTGACAAGTGCTTTAAAAACAAGGTGATGCTTCTTATATCAGCAGGGTGAGCATTTTGCTTCCTGCCACCTCCTTTGTAACAATGGTCTTTACATTAATTTGCTTATTGAGTGTGTGTGTGTGTGTGGGTGTGTGTGCATGCACACATGCATGTGTGCCCACGAAGTGAGCGTGTGGAGATCAGGGGACAGTTTGCAGGACTCCGTTCTCTCCTTCCGCTGTGTGGCTTCCGGTGACTGACGTGCTTGGTAGCAAGCACTCTTTCTTACCTACTGAGCCATTTTGACAACCCTGTCTCTGTCCGACCACCTCACAATCCTTACACAGTAGCCTCATGGTTAAATTACTAAAGGATGGGCGTCGTGAATAGTTATCTCGAAGATGCCCGATCGTGAGAAGCTGGGGCATGGTGGAAGGAGATATTCCTACAGGGAACTGAGAATGGACGGGAAAATGTCAGGATTTGTTTGGGAAAACGACAAGATTTATTCGCGTTTTCTTCATGTGTCACGATCTCTGTCCTCACCGCTTCCCTTTCTCTACCCCAGGTTAGCATAAAATTCTCAAAGGAGCAGGACCTGCCCGGCTCCACCACCCGTCTACGTCTTCAAGCAGCCCCTGACTCCTTCTGTGCCCTGCGAGCAGTGGACAAAGGTGTCCTTCTACTGAAACCTGAACAAGAATTGTCACCTGAAATTGTAAGCACCCTCGTTCCTCAGTGTCCCCGAGCTGTGTGGATGCATGCCTTGCCCTTCATAGGATACCTTTACTTGTGATGGGACATCCTGAAAGCATCAGTCTTTGCTTCTATGCTCCTTCCTCAGTTACTAGCATAGGTCATTAACTACGCGAGTTTCCTGTCTAGCATTCACAGTAATGCAGAACACTATAGATGATTATAACAGGTTAAGAGTTCTAAAACAATGCGATATTTTAAAATCGTAGTGAGAGAGTTTTTCAGTTGGTCTCTGTGCCCTTTGACAATGTCAGATTATAATATAAGTATATTATAATGTACTTATATTAGATTATAATTATATTATAATCTGACAATGTCAAATGATATTCTCAGCTATAACTAACTTCCTGGCCCGGGATGACCTGGGTCTATCTTTATCTTCTTTGTACCAGCCTTAAAAACTGTTTTTTGTTTTTCTGGGAGCCCTGGTTCCTTGAATATGAAATATTTGTCTAATTCATCTTTTTTTAGGTAAAATATATCCAGTTGACATGTTATCTCTGCTCAAGTGACATGAGACATGGCCCTGGCCTGCATTTCTATTTATTATGTTTATTTCTCAGTTTTACATTTCATTCCACTGGTTTTTCCTTTCCTATGCAGTCCCACAGCTTTAATGATAAAGATTAATTTTTCAGTAGGAATCAACTCCTTTGGCCAGGGAACTCCAAGCATCTCAACTCCAGGCCGCCCCTTGCTATCTAGTTGATTTTTAATAGCAACTTACTTCTAACTTCTCTGGCTCAAGGAGGGAACGCTGACTAGTATTTTCCTGTGATTGCCTGGGATTTACAAGTTAACTTCAGCATTGCCCCCTGATGGGGGAATAGTCTAACTCAGAATTTGGCTTTTTATTTTTCCAAGTATGTTTTTTTCTGTCACTTATGAACTAAATTTTAAATAGTTTCCTTATGTAAATTCTTTGTTTATTCATAAGGGTGTCATAACAACTCTGTTGCTGTTGTAAAAAGGTTTTCTCCTACTACATATTCTATTGTTACTTATGTGCCCAGCAGCTGTTCTGAATAATAATTTACATTTTGCTAAATTGCTAAATTCCTTTATTAATTGAATTATATTTTCATTGGTTCTCTGTTTCTGTGTATTGCATGGCCATCAAGTAGAAAGTTTTCTTTTTCTCTCACTCCCTCCCTTTTCCTTCTTTCTTTCCTTCTTTTCTTCCTCCCTCCCTCCCTCCCTCCCTCCCTCCCTCCCTCCTTCCCTTCCCTCCTTTCCATGCCTCCTTGCACAATTCCAGCACAGTATTCCATCGTGGGAACAGCAGCATCCTTTCCTCAGTCTTACCTAAGAAGAAACCACAGTTTCTTCTTAGTGGAACTTGAGCTCTTAGTGACTTATGTAGGACAGTCTCTTCACAACTTTCCATGCTTGTTTTATAAAAGTTGGTTTTGTTGAAAACGAAGCAAGTCTTTATGACTTAAGAAATATGTTCTCTGTATCAACAGTTATGTTCCTTTATGTTTAATTATATTTTTGTACTTTTTTCCTTATTACTGGCTGGCCCATTATTTGCTGAGTTTTCAGCTACATGTAGAGTGAATTTTGTAGGAGGTTTGTTTGGTTTGGATTTTGATGCTCTGCCACATTATTCTTACTTATATTTTGTTGTTGTTGTTTTTACCAGGATTTTAAAAATCTATCGCTTACATTAATGTAGTAAAGCAGCTTAGATGTCTAAGCCTTTTTCTCTGCTATCATTGTCTGTCTGTTGTTCACTGTGGTGGTGGGGTTGGAGCCAGAATGGGTGCATGCAGAGCAAGGACTTCATCACTAAACTTTGTTCCTAGCCCTGCTCCCCACCTTCAACTCCCCTGTAGACCCCAATGTGTAGTGATTGCTCCATTTTTGTTTTTCAGAAATTTCTTTTTCTTCTGTTTACAGTTACCCTTTTATGCCAAAAATTCACATACTGGGACTTTGTAATTACATGTGAGAGACAATTTATCTTGGATTACTCTGTTATTTAAGGTTATACTGCTTCATGTTCAGTAATATTTCTATTTTATAAGCCTCCAGTGTATTGCTCTGCTCAGATATGGGTTTTGAAATGTTTATGTGTGTTAAGAAGATGTCATTCCCGCCGGGCGGTGGTGGCATACACCTTTAATCCCAGCACTCGGGAGGCAGAGGCAGGCGGATCTCTGTGAGTTGGAGGCCAGCCTGGTCTACGAAGCAAGTTCCAGGAAAGGAACAAAGCTACACAGAGAAACCCTGTCTCAAAAAAACCAAAAAAAAAAAATGTCATTCCTATTATCAGCTTATTTTATACCTATTTTATATGAATATATGTATGTATATATGTATATGTATATATGAGAGAGTCTCACTATGTAGCCCTGACTATCCTAAAACTGGCTATATAGACCAGGCTGGCCTCAAACTCACAGAGATCCACCTGCCTCTGCCTCTGAGTGCTGGGATTAGAGGCGTGCACCATCACACCCAGCTTTGAAATTTTATTGTAACACCTTTCTCAAGAATAGTATGGCTTCACTTTTTTCTTGTTTAACCTTGAAACCCAGCCAGTCATTCCAAGTAACAGCCACTGACTCCCACCAGTGACCAGCTCAACCATCAATAGTCTTGACAGCTTCCTTCTTTCCTTTTCTCACATCTTAAAGTTGCATCTTTCCTTCCTTGGAGAACATATCATGCTTAGAACTTTGTTTCTCTCTTGTTCCCTGAGCTATCCCAATTTCCAAGTCATCTTTTGGTTACCTACATTGTATTCTCTGCTAGCTCCCTCAGAAGGGCACATGAATTCCATGACACTGTCATCCTCAGAATCATTCTTCTAAAGCCTTGACATAGAAAGAAGATGGGCATGGTGGTGGACACCTGTGACCTCAGCACCTGGGAGGTAGAAGCAGAGGAGGATCAGGAGATGAGGGCCAACCTCAGCTACTTGAGGCCTGTCTCAAAAAACAAAACAAACAGAAACTTTTAAAAATAAAGAACAATGCCTTACTATGTGAAAGACAGGTTAAGGGGCTATGTACTTTTCTTTAGGGTTCCTGAGAACCCTGCCCCGCTATACCTCACTGTGAACATTGTTTTAAGGAATTGTGCCATCAGACTAACTTATTTTCTGTGGTAGATTATTTGATCTTTATGCCTGGGGGCCTTGGAGGGCTTCCCCCCCCCCCCGCCTTTATAAATTTTAGTAAAATATCACTGAGGATTTATTGTGTGAGGAAAATCCAAAGCTTAGCCTGAGTTATGACTTTAAAATTAAGCTTTTTTAAATTCTTCTCTGTCTTGAAATTTTTCACTCATGTGTTGGCTCTTTTTTATGTGCTCTCATGCTCTTGTGTTGGCCTGTGACCTGCTTTGATTCTCTCTTTTTTCTATCTCTCTTCTCTCAGCTTGGTGGGCTGGGTGCGGTGGTGCGCATCTGTATCCTCTTTACTCGGGAGACAGACACAGGCGTTCACAGCCACTCAGAAAACAGAAGCAAATAAACAATGGATGATTTCTGTCAGTCGTTTTTTTCTTGGGGTCTTTAGAGTTCATGTCTGATGTTTTTGTCATTTCTAAGTTCATTCTCAATTATTTCTTCCTTGCTTTTGCCCACTTTTACCCTTTTTTTGTTGAATTTCAGATTCATGATCTTTTAAAATAACTTGCGTGTCAATTTGGAAATATTTCCTTTGTTCTGAAATATCTGAGGAATGCTTGTCTCTATTTGTTAATCATTTGGGCTGAGAAGTTTCCTTAGCTACAGTGTGTCCTCTGTTTTATCCTGTTCCATCCTTCCTTCCCTTCAGCACCAGCTCTGAGGGCCAGGGCTCTCCTCTGCTCACACCACTGTTCTCCATCAGTTATACCCACCTGATAGCCGCCACCCGTCAGTCATGCATTTCAGTGAATGGAAGCTGCCCCTTCACTCCAGGTCCTTCCCATTTACTGGGAGCTATTGTGTCCAGGGAAGATGGTTCATATTGTGACACAAGCTGTTCGAGTATTTGTTGTTGTTGTTGTTTTCAGAGCTGAGGACCGAACCCAGGGCCTTGTGCTTGCTAGGCAAGTGCTCTACCACTGAGCTAAATCCCCAACCCTGAGTATTTTTTAACCAGAGTTAATTTGGTATGTGTTTCTTCTCATTTCTTTGTGTCATTCTCCCTTTGTGCATGTAGTTTCTTAAACTTTCCTCCAGTTTTACATACCCTCAATTTTTTTCAGTCTTTCAGAACATGGCATGCATAATTCTACCAACAACTAGAAGATTACAGGGATAGTCACCATCCCTCATAATGGCGAAAGTATAAGTCATTGATCTCACTCCTTGTTCACTTTTTTATTGGTGCTTATTTGTTGCACATAGCACCGGGCTTCATAAGAATATTTTCATACTGGTATATAAAGTACTTTGACTGCTTGTTCATTCCTTTCATTCCTTGATGCTGTATTTCAGCTGGACAGTTTTAATATGTTAATACGTGGATTTAAGCAGCTGACATCACCCTCCAGGTCTGAGAGCTCTACTATTACAACTTCGGGTAGTTATCTGTGTGCTAGACTTAGGAACAACCAAGAGTTCTCCAAGACCTCATTCTTATTTGCTATCCCAAATCCTGCACCATCAGCCAGAAAAGCTTGCAAATAACATTGACTACATAAAACAAAATTAGTCTCCTCATTTGAATTTTTGGAAAGTTGACTCAGAAATAAACGATTATGACCCAAATTTTTCCAATCTTATGATTATGCAAGGGATGCTTAAAATCACCAAGGACCATATCTTCCTCTCCTAGGTATACAACCTGCTCCCAAATATCTATCAATATGGTTACTTCTACCACGGTCTCAACCTGGATGATGATAAAGTAGATCCATGCATCCCTCAGAAGGATTTGTTCCACAATGGACTGTATTATACACCTGCAAGCAATGTTTGGGATGGAGACACTGCTAATCTTCTCAGGGTAAGATCACACAGATGAGTCTGCAGAACATCCCTATGGTAGCTTTAGTGGTCAGCCCCCGCCCATGTCTCTCTCACTGTGCAGATTCTTTCTATATTGTGCTGACAGAGTACTCATAAAAAAGACATGCTAGTCCCGTTGGCTTTTTTTCTGTTTGCTGGAAAGAAATTATGTGGCAAAAAATCATGGAACCCAAGATGAGAAGCAATGAGATGGTATTTAATGTATCGCAATACCTCTCATGCATCAATAGTTAAAACAAGACGATAACTCACAGTCTGTATTCCACATAAACAGAGGCTGTCAGCCACATGTGCTCAGGGGTCATCCAGGATCTTTAGGATCAGAATCCTAAGGTTTAAGAAGAGGACACTGAGTCAGACAGGCTTTAGTTCAAGTCCCAACTCTGCTGTTTACTGCGTGTGCACTGTATATAGACATGCATGTGCATGTGTGCATGCATGTTTGCTGTTAATTAAGACAGTAGTGGTGGTGATTTCTTGTATTCCCTTAAGCGTAAGTGGAGAAAAATGAAAATATTAGCACATTAATAATAATAAAAATAATAGTGATTATTGGTTTTCTTCCAAATTATGAATTTTTCTGTAAGTCAAATTAAGGAGACTTATTTCTATGGCATTTGATCATGGCTAACACAGAAAATATTATATTTATTGTCTGTTTGCTGTGACTGTAGGCCTTTCATGGTTTTCCCAGGAAAGGAATGTATAACTTTTCGTTTCTTTCTCTGAAAGGACATAGGTCTGAAAATCTTTACTAATTTCCATTACCGGAAACCGGAAGTGTGTTCACCCCAGGAAAACCTGCACTTGCTGGGGACATTTGATGACCCAAGAGAACCGGTGATGATGTATGGCGGAGGCGCTCTGGCTGCTTCTGCCTGTGGGTAATCTAGAATTTCCTGTTGGAGTAACATTCAGTAGAATTCTTTGGATTGGGTCTATATAAGATAAAACCATGTCAAACACAGATCTTATAGATGATTTATGAGAGTTTGGAGCAGGAACTAGAATGACCACTATTCAACAAGACAGACTGGAAATAGTTTTGGCCATAAAGAATAATTAGCTTCTGACATAAGAAGAAGAAAACGGTTTCTGCCCTTTTTTTTCAAGACAGGGTTTCTCTGTGTAGCCCTGGCTATCCTAGAACTCGCTCTGTAGATGAGACTGGCCTCGAACTCACAGAGATCTGCCTGCCTCTGCCTCCTGAGTGCTGGGATTAAAGGCGTGCACCATTGCCACCCAGCTCATTACCTTCTTAAATTTTTGTTTGTTTGTTTCTTAAGATAGGGTCTTTCTCTGTAGCCCAGGCTGGCCTCAAAATAGACATGAAGACAACTATACAGGATAACGCAGGCAGCAACTAGACATGGTGTAAGACAACTCAACAACACTTACTTGTTTTTATTGAGAAAGGGTCTCACATAGCCCAGGCTGGCCTCAAACTTGTTATGTAGTCAGGGATGACCTTGAACCTCTGACTATCCTGACTCCACCTCTCAAATACTGGGGTTCGCAAGCATATACCACCATGCCCAGCTCTATAGTGGCTATTTTGACGTAAAAACACTGACTAAGTGCATCATACTCAGCCTACAGGCCACTCTTGTAAAGGAAAATGTTCTGGAGAATTAGCACTATGAATACCACTGAAAATTTCCACAGAAATAATGTCAGTGGGCAGAGTTGGCAGGTACTGGCATGTCAGCCAAGAGTCAGGGCAGAGATTTAATTCATCCAGATTTGGCTATAGGTGATTTGTTGTTTGGTGTAGCTTTTAAACAAATACAGAAATTTGACCATCAAAATAGCTGATATTTGATTTTATCAGTATTAAGCCCTAGGAGCAAATTTCTGTATCACCTCATGTTATGACATACTAGGCCTGATCTAGTTAAGAGCTCAACTCCAGGGCCTGGGAGATGGCTCAGCGGCTAAAGTGCCTGCTGTGCAGTCCTGAGGACCTGAGTTCAATCCCTAGCACCCACACAAATGCCAACCATTCCAGTGCACATCTGTCAGTCACCCTAGTGCTCCAGTGCACATCTGTCACCCTAGTGCTCAGGAGCAGAGATGGGTAGTCTTCGGGGATTATTGGCCAGCCAGTCTAGCTGACACTCTATGTGCAGGTTCAGTGAGACCCTGCCTCAGAAGTCAAGAGAGAAAAGCAAGTGAGGAAATCAACCTGTCCACTGGCACCTTCACAGGTGGTCATACTACACACACACACACACACACACACACACACACACACACACACACAGCTTAATTAGGCATGTGGCACTGAAGTCCAAAACATAGTTTTGCTCTTTCTACATAGGACATTTCTTTGCATCTCTCGTTTTAGCTCGTGATACCGTAGACAGCATCAACCATGCAGAACTGGCCATCAAAGAGACAGTCAGGACACACTTCCCCGAGACCTGGATATGGGACCTCGTCAGTGTAGAGTGAGTTTTATTTTTCTGTTACTTCTTAGTGTTTTTATTAAACAAATTTTTCCCCTGTATGCCTCTATCTCTTTTTCTTCTCTTGATTTGTCAACTTTTATTCCTGGGCAATAAAGTAGTGAAGTTTTTTTTTTTTAAAAAAGTCATTCATATGTACATCCTGATCATATGTTTGATGGTTTGTTTGCTTATTTGTTCTATAAAACTTTACTTTTCCACCAAAACTTCACTCCTATAAATTTCATGCAGGTAGATATATGCTACCTCAAATTTTTGAAAAAGATATTTATAGAAACATGACATTTCTAAGGTTCTGTTCTACAGACACTTGGACTAGGGCTATGTAACAGTGCCTTACCTAAACACCTGAAGTCATTTTCCAAACCTTCAGTCACCGTGTTTGTGTGTGTCCTGCATAAACTCGGGTTCTCACTTAGAGGACGTATGTCATCCACTGTGGGGCGTTTACCCAACCACCCCCACAGTTCCCCAGAGTTTTCTTGAGTGCGAGCAGCAGGAAATATTAGATAGAAGGATTCATTGCGGAGAATATCGCGGAGATAAACAGAAAATAAAGGATAGCCTCGAGAGGACCTGGAACCTATTCCAACGGGCCCCGACTGTCTCTGCCCCAGGGTTTTTATAGAGACGCCAAGGGGTGGAGCAAAAGACCTCCTCCCCCAGCACAGCCAAGTGCAGACCATCTCAGACACCTGCACTCAGGCCCGTGGTCCTAATCACCCTCTATGCGGACCTGGAGGAACCCGAGAACGGGCTCCCACAGGTCCCCCTTTCTTAATATATAAAAAAAATAACTATTAGTGGCTTACAGCAATCTCTATAGCTGTTACACCTCCCAGTATGGGAGTAGAGGATGATAAAGATGGCATTTCTCTTTTGAATTAGGTCCAAGGTGACTACAGCAGTCTTAGCTGCATCAAGCCCTTTCTAAACCAAAAACTCTTAAGGCGACTACAAACTTAAAGAATCCCTTAGCTTCATCATTACCATTAACAGGTTAACACAAATATTGCTATACATGGTCACAATTCTCCCAATCTTACAACACAAAGCAAACTCTTAACAGAACCATTTGAATTAGCATATATGGTGCTATATATAGTTAACAATTTTCTCCATCTTACAACTTTAACTCAATCATTTGAATTTTCTTGCTAACAAAACATAGGAAAAACTTCAATGTATTCACATCAAACTTAAATATTTTCTTAACTCCACAAAACCAGGGTGCATTAATATCAATAGGTTTCTGCAAACATAATTCAATCTCATAACTCCTCCTTCTCTTTATAATTTTTTCAACAAAATCTCAAACCTAGTTAGAAGACCCAAACTTTTCCATTTAAACAGTTCCATTTGTAACAAAACCAGTCCCAGAAAACAGTTTCTGGGTCATTACTGTAAGTAAACTCAAAATTGTCCCATTGCAATGAAATCTATTGTTCAGTTCATTAAGTCCTAGAATTCAAATGATAAATTCTGGTACTAGCCTTCCAAATATGAAGAAATCCAGAACCAAAATCTTTCTGTAGTTTTATCTCATTTTAAGTTCAAAAAGTTCAAACAAATAAATTCTGGTATCAGACTTTCACTTCCAAATATGAAGAGACGTTTTTCAACCAAAACTTTTTGCAGTTAACAATTTTTGTTCAAACAAGCGTCTCTGAACTTATTCTCAAGCCAGAGACCTTTTTTAGGTACAGTAGTATTCTAAACTGCACCGTTTTTGATGTTAGCTCAGGTTTTTCTGTGTTGCGTCGATTTTCCACGGATCTCAGCTGCGGATGCCTTGTGCTGGTTCTGGCGTCCGCCATTCTTAGCTTCTTAGCGGCTTCTGGAACTTTTGAAACCATTCAGACTGCCTACTTTGCAGTCTGCTAGGACACTAACTCTGTATCTCAGGTTTTTTCATCATATACATTAAGCATAGACTCACTTAGCATTTACACTTTTTTACAAACTCACATATAACATTTTGCCTTGCAAAGCATTTAGACTCACATTCAACATTTACATGTTTTTACAAACTCATAACATTAACATCTACTTATTTATACTCCTTAAGGAAACTATAGAACTACTTTAGCAAATATATTTCTTATTACTTATATACTTATATTCATTCCATCTTATTTCTTATTTAAACTTACATTTACAACTAGCATCTTTACTTCTTACAAGCTTATTACTACATGTCTTAAGACTACCTTAGATATTTTTTGCAAGCTTATATTCTTAAAGGAACTCTATAGATTTATTTTACAAACTTACATAGGGCTACCATTAGCATATATTTAACTTAGCAAACACCTAAAGATTTCTTAACAGAGATCTAACAAGAGAATTTTTACAAACTCACATATCTTATTTTCATCTTTTTCTACTTCTTACTCTTAATTATTATCACTATCTCTATTAGAAAGATTCTCTTAACTAGACAGGAAGTACGTACATCATTTCTAAAGTTTAAAGTTTATAGTTAGCTTTGTTATACAACATTGGGATTTAGTGAGTGTTGTTATAGAATTGTGATAGTTGTTGCTAGGGGACTGTAACATCTTCAGGACGAAGCCACACTCTAGAGTTGCCAGTTCTCTCAGCCGTCCCGGAACCGGCAGAGATGCACTGTCAGCGGTAGACGGTTTTCAACTAGAGGCTGTCCATTCACCCAAATTCATAGTAGCTCCCCTATGTACTTCAATTCAGACAAACGTTTCTATTACAGTAGTACTTTTGGTTTGTTCTACCGAAAAACTTCACTTCACACTGAGGGTGAAGTTACCGTATTTAGCTTCTGTAAAGTTCTTCGCCAAATCTAAAGGAGCTAGTAAAGCCAAAAGCGGCACAGCTCCGAACTGTATTTAGTATTTTCACTTCGTTAGCTTTAACTCCTGATGTTATTAGCAGCTGTAATATTTAGTATTGATTTCTTATGAGGAACTTTCAGGTGAAGCAACTCTTTTGTAAGACAGCTAGATTTTCGGAACTTTGTTTCCCATCTATAAAGCAGTCATTTCTTTTTGAATGCCTGTTTCTTATCCCCTTAATTAGATTTGCAAAGGAATCACTCATTGCAGGCAGTTTGTTCTAGAGGTAAAGAATTTTTTTAATTTCAACATAAGTTTCTTCATATCTAAGACAACGTTCAGTGTATAAACTGATTTCTTGCTTTAAGGATTTTAAAGTGGCTTGCTTGCTCTTAAAGGTAGCTTTTTGTCTTCCAACTACTGTAAAAAACTTTGCACAGCTATTAGGGTAAATAAGGCATTTTACCAACGGAGCCCCAAACTGAGAAGCACCTAGTTCCGTATCCTTTCAATTTTTCATTGGAAGTGACACAAACTCTTAGATGTTTTTTCCTCCTTATTCTTTTAAAAGCTGTATTTTAAGTTTACCAGGAACGTATTTTCGAGCTGACAAAAGGTGTTTCAGGGCTATGTCGCCATCTTTAGCAGAAAAACTACCTTTCCCAGAATGCATTTCCCTTATATCAGTCCATAATAATATCAGTCCCTTATATCATTTCCCTTATATCAGTCGTTTCCCATAGTTCTTTTTGGGTCTGAGAGTCAACTGGTTCTCTTTTACCAGACTTGCTTACAAATTTTTGCCCGGGAGGTTTGAACAAAGTTTTTTGCTTTTGCAATGGGAGATTTGAACAAGCATTTTACATTTTCAACTATGGCACATTGGGAGATTTCTGGTCTCTCAGCTGGCTTCAACTGGTGTCTCTCCTTCATTTGACACTGGCCCCCAAATCAGAACTGCACCTGCCTTGTTAGCCGGCATTGAAGCTGGCATTTCTGATAGCAACTATCCTCAGGGCTTGTGTTTGTCTTAGCCAGTCAGTGAAAAACAAGATCATATACAACAGCTTTTCCATAGCTCTTTCAGAGAGATTTTCTCCCACTGATTTTATTCTCATTTTACTTGTTCCTCCCTTTCCCAGATGCAGAGCTTCAGGTATCTGTCTGCAGCTCTGTTCCTCTGCTAGCTGCCTTTGGAGGTAGGGGCTTTTTTCTCTCCCCAAATCTGCCTTAAATTCTAGCAGCTTTTTCAGGTCATATATTTCTGGGGAGGATTATGTCCCTTCTGTTTCTTCAGAGTCTTTCTCCCAGACAGTTCCCAGTTTGGTCTCAGTTTATCCCCTCTACCCCAGAAACAGTTTCCGACACTACAGTGGCGGCTTTCCCTGCTACTGAAGGTAGGGGCTTTTTGTCCGTTTGTTTTCGGGTCTGTGTGGTTTGCATACAGACTGTGAAAATCTAACCAAGGGAGGTTTTTGCCACTTCTAAACTCCCATTAGGACAGGTGTTTTGCCTCATCAGGCCTTCACCTGGCCCAGTCCCCCCAATGGGTTGCATTTGCTTGTCTGGGTGCTAAAGGACAGAGCTTATGCCAGAGGCACCCCTTAGGGCTACACTCCCCGCCATCTCACGGGAGTCAGTTGAAACAAAGCTTTTCTCAAAGAGGCGCTTTCTCTGACAGAAAAGAAAGCTTTACTCCTGGATAGTTCTGTTCTGCCCTGGCTTGGGCTCTTTCCCCAGACAGCGTTCTGACTCAGCAGCACAACTGCTTCAGACACAGTTCAGCTTTACTGTTTTCCCAGAAAGGTCCTTACTCTGATAGGAAAGTTTTTTTCTCAGATTTCTTTTTGCAGCTGTGGACCTATCAACCCGGGACTTGTAGGAAAGTGGACAACTTTGCTGTTCCCACCGGCTTTAGTTTTGTTTGTTCATTGGCAATATTCCCCTGGGTCCTGCACCTTCCTGCCTCAGCTCTGTGCTCCAGAAAGTTTGCAACTGCAGGAACCCTAGTATCCCCGAAATGCACTCCAACTCAGAGATGCTGGCCAGTCGCCTCTGGGTTTTTGGTCAGAAGCAAGGATACAGTGCTAACAGTTTGCATTGCTTCAGGGGATCTTTGCATTAGGATGATTAGGAGCACCTTTTCATTCTGAAACGCTCAAACAAAACCCTTGGTGCCTCAGCTTGGCTGTAACTGAAAAGCTTGGCTTTTTTGCTTTTCTCAGGTAAAGTTTCCTGCCCTTTTGGGCTCTCCAAAGCTCTTTACCCACACTCTCCCAAGCATTTCCCTCAGGGTACTCTGACCCACTGTCTTTTACTGGCTTGAAGAGACAGAGCTTAGAAGAAGGTTTTTAGGAACTTGTCCCTGCCTCCTGCATTGCAGGGAGGATTTTTAAAGCTTGAAAGACAGAACTTAGAGGTTTTGCTGTCTTAAGAGGGTTGTTTTCCCTTAGAGCTAATCACAGTTGGTCCCCATACTAATATCTTCAGGTGATTCTAATTTTTGTCCTGAGAAAGTTAAAGGCTTTAGTTTTTAAGTTTGAGAGCTTTTAGTTTGAGAAAGATTAAGGCTTTTTAGAGATTTTTTTCCCCCAAATTTTCCAAGAAAAGCTTTAAAGTTTAAGAGAAAGTTTTCCCCAAGAGAGAAAGACCAACTTTTCCCAAAACTTCCCAACTTTAAACTTTGGCTTTTTACACCCCCATTTTTGCATCAGGGAGAAATCACTTTCTCCTGCCGCTTGGACTTAGCATTTCAGCTGTCCCCAGGTCAAAAGCTTCCATAGGAAACTTATTCTTTCCCATAAGCTCAAAGAAGAGCTTTTTCACTACCCGTAAAGCCCAAAGAAAGATTTTTTCCCAGTTTGCATTCAGAGCCCCCAAAGTTAGAAAATTGAAGAGTTTTTCTGTCTAGTTGCCTTACTTATCTTTTTCCTACACAATCTTACACTTCTAAGTTTTTCCTAAACTATATTACTACCCTATGCCTTATTTTTCAGATAGAAATTGAGAAAGCGATACAAGATAGAAAATTTTGACAGAAGAGAATTTCGCTGCAGCATCGGACATCCTTCCAGTCCGCTTTCCTTTTCTCTCAAGGATAAAACCCCTGCCTCTCAATATATATAAAAAATATATATTTTTCATAACACCGGCATGCCTTATCCACTGGCAGGGCTGACTCAGCACTTTCGCCAAAAACTCTGTAATAAAACTATTATTTTCCTTTATCTTTAGTCCCCATTACTTTGTCTTTAGTCCCTGTTCATTTGTCTTTAGTCCCTTTTTTAGTCCCCCCTTATTTTCTTTAGTCTTTTTTTTCTTCTTTAGTCCCTGTTCATGGCGCCATTCTGTGGGGCGTTTACCCAACCACCCCCACAGTTCCCCAGAGTTTTCTTGAGTGCGAGCAGCAGGAAATATTAGATAGAAGGATTCATTGCGGAGAATATCGCGGAGATAAACAGATAGAAAATAAAGGATAGCCTCGAGAGGACCTGGAACCTATTCCAACGGGCCCCGACTGTCTCTGCCCCAGGGTTTTTATAGAGACGCCAAGGGGTGGAGCAAAAGACCTCCTCCCCCAGCACAGCCAAGTGCAGACCATCTCAGACACCTGCACTCAGGCCCGTGGTCCTAATCACCCTCTATGCGGACCTTCTGGGTAAAGGCACGAGGAACCCGAGAACGGGCTCCCACAATCCACAGCCTATCTTTTCAGTTCCTCAGGTTCAGCAAACGTCTCATTCCTTGTCCCCGATACTATAACCCAATGGGAGGCCAGCGCCTTCTGTGTGAACGGTGACGCTGGGTTTGGCATTTCACCCAAAGCATATCTACAGATCTCCCGGCCCTTCTTCGTTGAAATCGCCTCACCCTTTTCTGTCGTTCGAAATGAACAGAGTGACGTGGTAGTCACTGTCTTCAGCTACCTGACCACGTGTGTAGAGGTAAGTCAGCTCCTTTAATCTGGAGACAAAGATCCAGCAAGCTAAATTATTCACTAATTTTTTTCATTAAATATCACCACAGTCTATTAACAAATGAAAATTCATACTATAAGGAAGTCATTTCTTCCTATAATCTTTAGAAATAATTATTTAAATTTCTAATTTTATGTTCTGAGTATGATTGTTGTGCCTACATGTATGCACATGCACCATGTGCATTTCTGGTGCCCACAGAGGTCAGAAAAGGACATCAGATCCCCTCAAATTGATGTTATTGGCTGTTGTGAGCTGCCACATGCATGCTGAGAACTGAACCCATGTTGTTTGCAAAAGCAACAAGTGCTCTCACCTGCTGGGTGAACTCTGCAGCCCCAGAAATAATTGTTTTACATCACAACAATGACTTGAAATTTTAGTGAGAATGACATTTTGTGATGATCCACATTCTACTATTTTGTGAACTTGTGAATGAGTCCTTGGGCATCTTTTCATTTTGCTAAGTTAAAATAAAGAAAACCTTACAATGAAAAATGTCAGGTTCTTTGAAGATGTTGAAGAAACCATTGTGCGATAAACTGTAGAATTTCAGGCAAAGGAGAGTGAAAACTTAAAGTGCTACCCTTGTGGCCATTATTCTGTTCTCAGATTTCTGTTCGGCTAGAATCATCTGAGGATTATGAAGCAAATAGCAACACCCTGAGTACCAATGGCAGTGATGTTCTCCAGGCTGGAGAACAGAAAACGTATGTCTGGACCATTATACCAAAAACACTGGGTAAGCAGCAGTCCTTCATGGATTGACCCACATTTTATCAACCTCTGTTTTTCTTAGATTTTCTAAAGAAACATGATTTTCTTCAGCATCATATTTTTAATTTCCTTTATTCATTTCTCTATATTCAAATTTCTTATAATTTCTTTGTTTAAAAGTATTTTTTATTTTCTGTGTGTATATATGTGCCTGCATGTATGTATGTGCGCCATGTACATGTGGGTGCCTAGGGAATCAGGAACAGGGTGTTCCATTAGAACCTGATGGTTGTGAGTTGCCTTATGTGAGTACTGGGAACAAACCCAGGTCCTCCACAAGAGCAGCAAGTGCCCTTAGACACCGAGCCCTCTCTCCAGCCCTACAGCTCCGCGTTGCTACTACTCTGTGGAACAAAACTCCATTCATTCACATAAAAAGTATAATAAGATTAAAATATGGCACAAATGCTGATTTGTGTGATTTATCAAATCCACATATCATATTCCCAAATAAAGACCACATCTCTTTAAGGCTACCCTGATTCTGGCATTTGCTGCTTTTCCTAACAATCACATAAAATGCCACTTTTACAAAAATTTCTCCTCAGCCACCATCATCAATTATGAGAGCCATTGGTTTTTTTTTTTTTAACTAAATGTACTAAATAGGTCACCAACTACTAAAATCCAACCATCGGATCAAATATTGAGAACTTTGCTCTAGTGCCTGGCAGTTTAGGAAAGTAGCTTTAGAAGTCTCTTGCTAGTGACATAGGAGAAGAAGAAAATTCATAGTTTAGTGAACCAGAAATGCAAAATGTAGATGATTCTTAGTTTGAGAAGACTTTTAAAAATTATGTCATTAAAATTCTTTTATTCATTTTCTTGTATTATTATGTCAGTGGAGAATATAAGATGTTTTTAGATTCAGCTGTGATGTTGATTCACCTCAGACCATTTTTCTATTAGACTTAAACTTTAACTCTTATGCTATGTAAGATCTTCAAATATTTTGCTCTGGAAAGTGGGACAGAATAGTGCACTCGCTGCTATGTCTTTGTGGTGTTCAACAGCTGTGCAAAGCAAAGAAAGAAATGAGCAGAACTCACAACAAAGAAACAAAAACAATATGTTGGCTATGTTTATAGCACATGGGCGATATTAAGCCTTGTGAGTAGCTTTCCCAATCCAATTTCTATAAACAAGGAAACTGGAGATCAGTTTTGATTACATACTGATACCACAGAAATTAAAATCAATGGATTTCTTGCCAGCATTCAGTTTATATCTGGTGGTCCTTGTGCTGTATCATATTTTACTGTTTTTCTTTGATCTTAGAAAGCATTAGAAACCCCAGTTAAGAGCCGGGCGGTGGTGGCGCACGCCTTTAATCCCAGCACTCGGGAGGCAGAGCCAGGCGGATCTCTGTGAGTTCGAGGCCAGCCTGGGCTACCAAGTGAGTTCCAGGAAAGGCGCAAAGCTACACAAAGAAACCCTGTCTCGAAAAACCAAAAAAAAAAAAAAAAAAAAGAAACCCCAGTTATTACCAGGTGTGGTGGTATTTTTCTTTGATCCTGGGAAACATTAGAAGCCCTGGTTATTGCCATGAATGGTGGTGCAGGCCTTTAGTCCCAGCCCTAGGAAGGAAGAGGTGGGCAGATCTCTGTGAATTCTAGGCTTGGTCAATGTAGTGAGCTCCAGGTCAGCCAGGACTACACTGTGAGAACCTATCTCAAAAAAGAAAGAGAGAGGAAGGGAGGGGAGGGGAGGGGAAGAGAGGGGAGGGAGAGGGAGGGAGAGGAGGGAGAGAGAGAGAGAGAGAGAGAGAGAGAGAGAGAGAGAGAGAGAGAGAGAGAGAGAGAGAGAGAGAGAGAGAGAGAGAAAGTAAAGTAAAAAAGAAAGGAAGGAGAGAATGCCCAGGTATCTGATGTTATATTGTCCAATGTCATCTTTATAAACAATATCAAGGTGTTGGCACAGGTTCATAGAATGTTACCTTTCTTACAACTTTGTAAGTTGGCCGCTGGCTGTTGCTGCGTCAGGGTCAGCTGTGAGGTCGGCATTCGGTGCTCTATTGTTGGCTGGCCGCTTGGCCGTTGGCACTCCTCCCTCTGGGGCGGCCATGGCAGGGTTTGCAGGGCTAGTGCGGAAAACTCATGAATATGTAAAAACCAAGGAGTTCCGGGATTACATAACCAGCACCCACTTCTGGGGTCCGGTGGCCAACTGGGGCCTTCCACTGGCCGCCTTCAAGGATATGAGGGCGCCTCCCGACATCATCAGCGGCCGCATGACGACGGCGCTCATCTTCTACTCCATGGCTTTCATGCGCTTTGCCTACCGAGTCCAGCCTCGAAATTACCTGCTGTTGGCATGCCATCTCACCAACGTGGTGGCGCAGACCATTCAGGGTGGCCGTTATGTGAATCACTACTTCTTTGGTGGGGCCAAGGCCAGCAAACCTTTGGCCAAACAAGCTTGATGACTGGGGGATGGGAGGAGTAGCCTAACCCAGACTTTTAAGTACTGGACTCTATTCCTCCTAAAGAAAATACCAAGGAAAACGTTGGTTCGGACTCTAAAACAGTGCAACCCCAATTGAAACCTGAAGTTTGATTAATTAATAAAAAAAAAAAAGAACTTTTGTAAGTTCTAAGGGAGTAAATGAGTGACTTACTATAGGGAATCTTGAAATAAGTAGAACAAGACATACTTATTGCCTTATCTCCAGGCAGGAGAAGAAGCAGGTAGTTTGATCTAAACTTCGGTGTGATGGTAGAGTTTGGTGTATCCCATTCAAGACAAGACTGACAGGCCTGAAGCATCTCCCATTGGAGAAAGTGTCCAGTATTCTTTATCTCATGCTTGGCAATGTTTTCCAGGCAAAGTGAATATTACCGTAGTGGCTACGTCCAAACAAAGCAGTGGCTGCCCAAACGATGCCAGTAAGCAGCAAGATGTCAACTGGAAAGACACCGTGGTCAAAGGCTTACTGGTAGAGGTATGTACATATGAAATCCCAAGTTCCTCCTGATGGGAAACAGTGTCTAACGATAAACTAGGACATTCTTCTTGCAAATGCTTAACTGACCAAAGTTATTTTTGACACAAACCTTCTGCTTTGAACAAATTACAGTATTATATATCCATCAATACCTCAGGCCTTCCCATAGGCCTCAATGAGAAAATACTCACCTAGCTGTGCAAGGCCCTGGGTTCTATTCTCAACAGCTCTCAACCCAACCAACCAACCAGAGCCTCCCCAAAGATGATGAGCCCCCTTGAAACATGCTGTACGCTTTCTGGACTCCCTTCTTGGTGTGAAGCAGCCTATAGATCTCCTCCCCACCCCTTCTTTCAACTGATCCCAAAGTTCGAGAGTCAAATCCATTTGCTCTATGCTCATGAGCAGTTCCTGTTATCGTCAATAAAAAATAAATATCAATAGGGCAGTTGAAAGTGTCACGCAATGACACAGGATTATCTTTGCACAGCCTATGGGAGCCGAGGGCGTGAAGGGATGTTGGTACTGTACAGAGACTTCCACATCATAAGGACAGGGACAAGGAATGGTTCCAAGAGAAACCCTGAGCCAGCCATGCCTCTGGTAACTGAGGTTTGGTCTCTTTTCCTTCATGGAGAAATGATCCAACTTACTATTCTGTTCTTGGTTTTGTTTACGCTCTAACAGCCTGAAGGTATTGAAAAAGAAACAAGCCAGAGTTTCCTTATCTGCACAAAAGGTAAGAAGGCCCTCCACGTGGTCAGTTGGTCCTAGAGAAATCTGTAAGTAGGGCAGATTTACTTCCTTGACCTATGCACGAGCCACGAGCCACGAGCCACGAGCCACGAGCCACGAGCCACGAGCCCACTTGCCATGTGGATGCATTTTGAGTTCCTCTTGGTGGTTTTACTTTATTTCATGTTTTATCTTCATTGATATATAATTTTTAGCAAGCAAATGTGTATTAATGAATTACATTTATTTATTTGTCTAATAAGATTAGTCTACCTTTGCCTATTTTCTCCATCTTGTATATTTTGATTTCTTTGTTCATAAGACTGCCTCACAATCTTGATCAATGGAAAACTCGAGATTTTTCAAATTAACACTAGCATAGTGGTTGCTTTTATATTCTTGGTACAAAATAGTCTCTGAGGAGCCCCCATGGTACTGGACTAGGCCCTCTGGATAAGTGAGACAGTTGTTTAGCTCGAACTGTATAGGGGTCCCCAGGCAGTGGGACCAGGACCTGTCCTTGGTGCATGAGCTGGCTTTTTGGAACCTAGTGCCTATGCTGAGACACTTTGCTCAGCCTTGGTGCAGGGAGGAGGGGCTTGGACCTGCCTCAACTGAATGTACCAGGCTCTGCTGACTCCCCAGGGGAGACCCTGCCTTGGAGGAGGTGGGAATGGGGGGTGAGTTGGGGGAAAGGCTGGGAGGTGGGAGGAGGGAGGACAGGGGAATCTGTAAAATGAGTAGAAAAATCTCTTAATAAAAAAAATATAAAAAGAAATTAAAAAAAAAAAACAAAATAGTCTGTTACCTGATTTGTGGTCATCCTGAGTATTGTTTTAGCTGGTTATTGGTAATCTGATTTTAATGTTTACTCAGTCTTTGAGAATTCCTTCTATGAGCTATGAGTCATATCTTCCATTTTTTTCATACACAGTTTAAGTACTGGACTGATAGAAAATGAAGATCACTGTCGAAGACAAAGTATACATCATTTTCTGAATGGATTGTTATTCTAAACTAGCTCAAATCCTCAGTTTATTTTTAAAAACTTTATTGCATTTATTTGTGTGCGTGTGTGCACTGCATGTCATTGGGGGGGGGGGGGTGGAAGTCAGAGGACAGCCTGCAGGAGTTCCTTCTCTCCTCCTACTCGGTGAGTCCCAGGCATTGAACTCAGACCACCAGGTTTGGTGGCACATGCCATTACCCTCTGAACCATCTCACTCTCCCCAATTCACAATTTCATTTTGTCCAATAGCAAAACTAACCAATGGCCTTTTCTCCTTAATACAGCTATTCCAAAACTCTGCTGCTGTGACTTGTAGAGGGAAGTCTTTGCATTATCTGTATGGGTATTTTCTTTCAGGTACCAAAGCCTCAAAGCAAATACTTCTGGAATTGCCAAGTGATGTAGTGGAAGGGTCAGCCAGATCCTTTGTCACGGTTGTAGGTGAGTTTATCAAATTCTGTGTCATGGTGATTTGAAAATCTTCATTGAGGTTGTCTACAAAAGGTCCTAAAATAACCAAATGGAGATATTTTCTTAAGCTATCGGGGCAGGAAATGTGTTCAGACCACCTTTTCTGCCTGTTTCCATGTGGGATCTGAAGGCGTGGGAGTTTCCAGACCTGAATCTCTATGAGGCACTTACACTGGTGGGTAATGGTAGATGCTCAGGAAATGGGAGACCCTGTTATGACCTGTAAATATGAATGCTAAATTAGCCTCTTGGAGATTATGATATGTTGTGATACTGGGAATTTTCTTGGTTAAAAAAAAAAGATATGTTTCCTAAAATAAAGTCATTTGTCTATCATCAACTTTCAAGCCTGAGGTAGAGGGATGGGTTATAGTTTGTATTTCATTGGGTCAATATCTAAAACCACAGAGTAGAAGCAAGCCAGTAAGGAGCACACTTCCCAAGCATCCACTTTACTGTGGGATGAAATTTTCAGGAACATTTCATACTCAAAGCCCCTCTAATTCCACACTGCCTTAGATTCCCTCTAAGAAACTTGAACTTGTTTACGGTTTTATTTACTTTATTTTAAATTATGTGTATAGGGGGCAGTATGTGCACATAAGTGCAGTGCCCAAAGAGGCTAAAGGCATTGATTCCCAGGAAGGGAAGTTAGAGACAGATGTGAGCCACCTGATCTGGGTGCTGGAAATTGAATCCCGGTCTGCTTCCAGAGCAGCATGGGCTCTTAACCACTGAGCCACCTCTCCAGCCTCCTGTTTATACTTTTTAGAGCCAACTTTAAATGTTTTCTACCCCACCATGCATTAACAACCACAAGTTATAATGCTGGGGCAGCAGCTCAGCATGAGCGTGAGTGAATGACTCTCCTTTTCTGTCTTTAGGAGACATTCTCGGAGTCGCAATGCAGAATCTAGACAGCCTTCTCCATACGCCCTATGGGTGTGGCGAGCAGAACATTGCTCAACTAGCGTCTGACACTTACATACTCGACTACCTGAACGCTACCCAACAGCTGACAGAAGAAGTCAAATCCAAGGCTCTACTGCTCTTAACTAATGGTGAGTGGATAAGGAGTTTCTGCCAACAGAGATGAAATCAATTGCAACTGATGTCAAACATGGTCAGCCTTACTCTGTGGTCCCCCGGTGAGACAAAAGTGAACCTTTTAGGTACTCTGGGTCCTAGCTGTATGCTCCTTTTTAACTTTAAAATCTGTGTCCGCTGGGCAGTGGTGGTGCACGCCTTTAATCCCAGCACTTGGAGGCAGAGGCAGGTGGATCGCTGTGAGTCAGCCTGGTCTACAGAATGAGTTCCAGGACAGCCAGAACTGTAACACAGAGAAACGCTGTTGTGAAAATAAATAATAATATCTGTGTCTATCATTTAACCTTATGATATAGAACTGTTGTTTCAAATTGGGAACTCATCTTTATTTTAAATGTTCTTTATTCATACATGCATACAACAAAATATGGTCATATCCACCCCTACATCTCCCCTTCAACTCCCACCTCACCCTCCCCAACATGCTGTCTCTCATCTTCATGTCTTTTTTTTTTTTTTTTAAATATAACCCACCAAGTCCAGTTAGCACAGCCCATATGTGCATGGGCATAGGGCCCTCCCCTGGAACAGGAGACACCTACCGGTGGCCACACCCTCAATAAAGAATGAGTCTTCCACCTGCAGCAGCTACTCACTTCCAGTAGCTCCTTAGTATAGAACTGAGTCTGGGGATCATCTACCCCATCTATGCCAGGGATTTAACTGGCTTGATCTTATGTAGATCTTGCACAGGTAACCACAGCCGATGTGAGCTCACAGTTGTAACAGCTGCATCATGCTCTAAAGACAGCACTCCACAGCACTCCTCCCCACCCTCTGGCTCTTGCGTTCTGTCTCCTCCTCCAAGATGCTCCCTGGACCGTGGTGGTGATGAAGTTAGCATCAATGAACTCATTTGTAAATTCGTCATAGTTACCATAATATCTTACTTGTTTTGGTTGTGAATAGCAGCTGAAAATGATTCATTTGTCAGCTCCTAGACCTGCTTGCTCGGCTGTGCTCCAATGCAGGGAGGTGATTGGATCTGAATGTTCAAAGACAGTATACAAGCAACATAAAAATGTGATATTGAGGACAGGTCCAGGAGGAAATGCAATTTGGGTTTTCTCCTTAGGAAGGTAAAACTGAGTGAAGTAAAATAACCTTAAGGGAAAGGTACTGATCGGTGAGCACAGCTTTTAAATAAGGCATTCTCTGTCTACACAGAGGTAGACAACCTGAAGTTTCAGGAACCGAAGTTGAAGTGATCACAATAGCACATCCCAGGGCTTACATTCACCCAGTCTATGCCGTTCGTTTTCTTCTCTCTCAGGCTAAAAATCAGCTGCCTCCTGTGTTGTGTTTTAGGTTACCAGAAGCACTTGTCTTTCAAAAACTATGATGGTTCATACAGCATGTTCTGCCAGAGCAATCAGAAAGGAAGCACATGGTGAGAGATAAAAACTTCGTTTTCAATAGTATAGGGTTTTTTCTAAGCATGTCTTGCAAGAAGGTGAGAGCAGCTAGTGCTCAGTGGGGCATCTCCAGCCAAGTGAGTTTCAAAGTGGATTTACAGAGACTAAAACAAACCCAAAAATGTATTGTTTGCAACAATATCCCCATAGTCTCATGCAACTTGCTTGGCTGTGTGATCATTTAGTGATGGCTCTCTGTGATGTCACAGCTCATCAGCTCCATGGCAAGTGTCACATCTTACTCTGTGCCTCTCAGTCTCATTTAGATGCCAGGAAAGGAAGCTAGAAGGCCCCATAGCATCGGGTTATAGATCATACCAGTCCTGTTTCTGGGTATGTGTATCAAATGGACTATACAGCCAGAACTTTGGGTGGCAAAAATCCACCTGCTCTAATTTCTACAGATTTGCTCTCCATCGTATTTTACTGACCCCAATGAAAGGGCTACTGCCAATCAAGACTAGTAACTGTCGACATTGGACAAGTTGTATGAATGCATTACCAAAAGGGAACATCACCGATGAACCCGCTGAGCAGCCGACATCAACTTTCCCCCTAACTTCTGCTTTGATGATCCCCATTACAGGCTTAGTGCCCTTACTTTCAAGACATTTGAGAGAATGAAGGAATATATTTTCATTGAAGAGTCGGTCCCCAAACAGACCTTAATCTGGCTTTCAAGCAAACAGAGAGCAAACGGATGCTTTAGAAGGGACGATGAGGACGAGCCTGTCGACAGTGCTGGGAAGGTAAGGGACTGAGTCGTTCTTTCCGTTTCTCTGTGGCATCTGCCTCCGTTGCCTCCCTCGTCTGGACCGCTTCATCCTTGTGAATGTCGTGCCTTTTGAGTCTGCTCTAGTCACAGGTCCCCTGCATCCTCTCCATGAGCATCAGTCCTGCTTCGCGAATGTTTAACCCTACGTGAGCCTTTTGTTTGCCTTCTTCAGCCTTTAGTCTTTCCACAGAGTCAGGCTTCTGCAATCATTAAACTGGGAAGAGGAGGGAAAAAAAACAGGAATCAGCTGAGAAAGCTTCTGGGAATTTGGAGTCAGACAGGAGGGAGTCTTGAGTGTGTGAGGAATTCCTTTCTGTGCCTTAATCCTAAGGTTTAAATCCCAGTCTCAGGGTAGGAATGCAGCTAGCTCAGTTGGTAGAGTGTGTCAACACAAAAAAACACAGCTCTCACCTCAAAGAGAATGAGAGAGAATTTATTCTGAAGCCAAGCATGAGTAACCATGGTCCAGGAACACAGATTGAGGTTACTCAAACTTCCATCTTCCAACTCTGTAACAATTTGATTTAGCTTTTAAGTAACAGAACGAAGGAAGCCATAACTCAGAGAACTTTTCAAATACATCAGTGGGAACACTGACGAGGCGGTCACAGCAAAGCAGGGAAAACGCGGTGACCCCAGGACTCAGATGCTGTCTGATGACACTCTTAGCTGTTGGTTGGTGGAAGCTATGGATCTGTTAAGTCAATATATTCCAAACAGTTTTTATCTGTTAGTCACAGGATGTTAGGTCAGACACAGAGGTGCTCAAGGAATAGCTATTTAGGAGGTTAAAGAAAGCTGAACAGGGTTCTGGAACTGCTACATTCCAACCTCTCCACGACCACTGATGGTTTAATCAGTTAATGATCCCTCTAGAAAGTTCTGTGGCAGGTGTGACTTCCTTCTGAGGACTTTGTTCACAAATGCTTGCAGTGTGCATGAAGCCCTGGATTCAACCCCTCGTCCCACACAGATCCTACCAGGCACACACCAGATTTGGTGGCACATCCCTGTAATCACAGTATTTGAGAATTGGGAGAGGCAGGAGGAGCAGAAGTTCAAGGTTATCCTCAACTAACAAGTAAACTACCTGAGAGTCTGTCTCAAAAAAATAAAAGTGAAGCATGGTGGCCCACACCTTAAATACCAGCACTGAAGAGGCAGAGGCAGGTGGATCTCTGTGAGATTGAGGCCAGCCTTATCTGCTAGGGAGCTCCTGGCCAGCCAAGGCTACATAGCAAGACCCTGTATAAAAAATAACAGCACAGCAAAAACAAAAACCAACCAAACTGCAACAACAAAAACATCATAGTCATGGTTTGTTTAATGCTGGTTTTCTCCAGGGCTTTTTATGCATATCAGTGTGCAATTCATGCATTTTTAATTCTTCTCTAATTTTCACTATACTCATATATGAGTCCTAATAACCTGTACTGGCTAGTTTTATGCCAACTTGACACAAGTTAGAGTCGTTTGGGAAGAAGGAACCTCAACTGAGAAAATGTCCCCACCAGAATGGCCTGTGGGCAAGTCTGTGGTGCATTTTCTTAACTAGTGATTGATGTGGGAGAGCCCAGACCTTTGTGACTGATGCCACCTCAGGGTAGGCCGGGCAAGTTTGGGGTAATAAGCCAGTGAGCAGCATTCCTCCATGGCCTCTGCTTCAGCCTAGAGTTTCTGCCCTAACCTCTGGGACTACAGTCTGTGAGTTAAAATAAGCCCTTTCCTCCCCAAGCTGCTCTTGGTCATTGTCTTGTCTTAGAGTTTCTATTGCTGTGAAGAGACACCTTGACCACGGCAACTCTTATTAAAGGAAAATATTTCATTGGGGTGGCAGCTTACAGTTTCAGAGGTTCGGTCCATTATCATCATGGCAGGCAGTGTACAAGCAGACATGGTGCTGGAGAAAGAGCTGAGAGTTCTACATCTTCATCCACAGGCAATGGGAAGTGAACTGTCTACACTGAGCGTAGCTTGAACATAGGAGACCTCAAAGCCCACCCCCACAGTGACACACTTCCTCCAACAAGGCCATACCTACTCCAACAAAGCCACCAACCATCCCCTATGGGCTTATGGAGGCCAATTACATGCAAATTACAGCAATCATGGTGTTAATCACAGCAGTAGACCCCAGTAAGATGCTAATGTAACTGCCACTTTGGCAGGAGTTTCCATGAAGTCTTTCATCTCCTTTCTGTCCAACCGCATCAGCAAAATGTTTCTTTGCTTTCTTCAAATTAATACCAAAAGAGCCATGTGAGCTGCTCACAATTCAGGCCAAACACCAGGCCACATAATACCATATACTTACGCACAATTCACATACGTTTAAAATTCTTATGTTTTATTTAATTACTCCATTGAGTGTTAATGGAATCTCACTCAGCATGACTATGATTTATCTAACTTAAAAACTATGTGTTAGTGTTTTTGTGAATAACAATGTTTGTTCAAGCATTTTTTCCTAGTTAGTCTCAATTCAGAAACAGCTATTCTTTTGTGTTCTGCTATCCTAATACAGCTCACTGTTCCTTCATTTTCAGGGCAGTGATGAAGAGGATGTTGTGCTCACTGCATATGTCGTCGGGGCGTTCCTTGAAGTTGGATTCGATTCCAGTGTATGAATTCCCATCATCTCTGGCTTCACTTAGCTGAACGTACCTTATTTAGATAGAACCTGGATTCAGAATGACTTGAAATTCAAAGACAGGATAAGATACCAAGACAATATGTAATCCATTACCATCCTTTAAACTGATGATATTCAAAATTCTTTTGGTGTACTGATAGGATTGAGGTTTCACCCAGGTTGGATACAGTCATGAAAAAAATACTTTTTCATAAGATCTCAGGTATTTATATGTTCCCTGAACTGCAGCCATGGACTTCAGATTATGAACCTCTGCTGTGGCAGGCACGAGGGCACACACCAGTGTTCAGTGGTAACTCCAGGGTTCATAAAATCAAGGCAAAAGGATCACAATGTTTGAGGCCAGTCTAGCCTATACAGCAAGACCCAGAATCAAAAACAAAGGCAACTATCAATGAAAAAGAATGTCTGCCCTCAGTAAATCCATGGTCTAGAAGTCTGTTTTCAAGTCACAGAAGCATTTTCAATATGGTTTCAGTCCACAGACTATCCATTTACAAAATCTGTTCCTAAAAAAGACACTATGTGTTTTCAGGGTGGTTAGTGTATCTTGAAATACAAACCTCTATTTAAAGCATGAAAGTAAAACATTTTAGGTCTAAAAGAACTGTGTGTGATCTGGGGAGATCACTCAGTAAAGTACTTGCCTCACATGCGTGAGGAAGACCTGAGCTCTGTTCCTAGAATCTGTGTACAAATGCAGGTTAACGTGGTGGCACATGCCTGTAATCCTATTTCTGAGGAGACGGAGAACGGCGGGGATCCTTGGGACTCTCTAGCCGTTGTCTCAAATGAGGTAATTGGTGGTCTTCAGGTTGGCACCCAAATCCATCCTCTGACCACCGTGACACATACACAACACGGATACACACACACATCCACACACATACAATTGTATGTCTTGAGACATGAAAGAGGTTTATATTATAGGTAAAACATTGCCGATCTAATATCAAAACTCACTTTACTCCTTAAATTTTGTTTCTCCCATACTAACAATAGTCCAAATTTATTTTTCTGTTGCTTAATAAAGATAGATCATGTGAATACATGACAGTTTTGTAAGTAAAAATAGAGTATGTGAATAGATATGATAGGTTTGTTATGTAAAATGTGCTTCGGGGATATATAATATACATCGTAAACTGCATTATAAGCAGGGGTTAGCTTAAGTATTCAGCAAACTCATGAATGTTCAGGTGTCACTTACGAGCATCTCTTCCTCCCCACCAGTTTCCCGCCCTCCGCAATGGTCTCTATTGTCTGGAGGAGGCATTTTCAAATGGTGTCACCAACAGCAACAGCGACACACAAGCTATTCTGGCTCACGTGTTTGCACTGGCTGGAAAAGAGCAGCAAGTGAAATCCTTACTCCAGAGCCTGGATCAATCTGCCACAAAAATCAGTAAGTCTTATTCCATGTGGCTTGGCAGGGGAGAAACTACTGAAAAGGAAGCGTGACTCTCGCTGAGGGCTCAGATCAGAGCCCTCCCTCCGCCAAGGAGCCTCTGCTTCTCCTGCAGAGCGCGTCAGCAGCACCGTGTCTTCAAAGAGTGTCAGATATTTAATTTCTCTCTTTCTCTTTTCCACCATTTTTTTTCTCAAACTGATGAAGTAAAGGAAATTAAGCATGCTGCAGACAATAATTACTTCTGAAACCACTTATGACCCTAAGGAGACACCGTACTTATTCCCAGGATCTGTATGGAAAAATACCACAGACTGGCTAACTTTTTAAATCTCTTTAAAGATCCTATCCCAAAATCCAATCACATTCTGAGGTTAAGACTTCAGTATATGAATTTAAAATTCAGGCCACAACAAGAATCCAAAGACTAGAACCTGTCCCCTCTGAATGGGTAACTTATAGGAGCTTGTTCTAAGGACTGTGAAAATACTTTTTATAGAGACCCATTTCTCCGTTTTCTCAGATAATATGATACATTGGGAGAAAGAAGAGAAACACGAAACAGAAGGCTCTCCATCGTTCATTCCTTCGGCACTTTCTGGTGAGACAGAGAAGACGTGCTATGTGCTGTTGGCTGTCGTTTCTCAGGTCGCTCAGGACCTTGATTATGCTAGTAAGATTGTTCAGTGGCTCGCCCAGCAGATGAACTCCCACGGAGGCTTTTCTGCCATACAGGTGATTAGCCTGATACGAGGTGAATGTGTTTAATGCGGAAGATGCCACTCTAGATGACAACAATAACAGTCATGCAAACATAGATTCCGGAATGAAGAACTTTTGATATTCTCTGTAAAGATTTATTTATTTTGCTTTATGTGTATGAATGTTTCCTATGCACGTGTGTGCACCACATACATGCCTGCTAGATTACCTTGATCTGGAGTTGGTTGTGAGCCACCATGTGGGTTCTGGGAATCAAACCTAGGTCCTCTGCAAGAGCAACAGTGCTCTTAACCTCTGAGCTCTGGATGAGGACTCAGAGGCCTCCAGTCTGAGGAAACAAGACCAGCTGAGGATCTGGCGAGGTGAGGTAGCTGTGACTTGTTCTGTCTCTCTGACCTTCCAGTGTTCACCCCAATACCTGGCTCAGGTTTGATTTTATTAATAAGAACTTTTAAGATTCCTGCTACACTGAGCCATCTCTCCAGCCTCCACACTTGATATTCTGAATCCTGTTTTATTTAGTCATGGGCTCGTCATTGTGTTTCAGACACTCTTTCAAGGAGATTCTATTTTAGATGATGCATGAGACCCTCCCTTTAAGGAATTCAGGCTGTCTGTCTCTCCACTGCACAGTGGAATGTTAGTCTAGAAGAGATTTCCTGTGTAAGAACAGAGTCTTGGTACAGTTGATATCTGATGGTGCAATGGTTAAACCACATGTCAGTTAGGAATAAAGATCTCTCCTTGCTTCTGTGGTCCCCACATCAGAAAAAAGAAAAAAGAGGGCACAGGAAACAAGAAAATGAGTGGCCATGAAGCAGTGGATGATTCCTTCCCTAACAGGAAGAATTGAACGTCAGGGGAGTTGCAGGTTCATTGCATGAGTTTCCCTTCTCCCCTTTAAGGCTGAGTCCCCATGAGATGGCAGGCTGAGGAATTTCCAAAGACCTCTTCTGACTTTGGTCCCTCTTTAAGTCATCACATTGTACCACACCTTCACTTTCTGACTACACGTGACATGATTTTCAGCAGTGGGGATGGTTATATATCTTTAGAAAACTAAAATCAAATTGTTTTGCTAAAGAAAATGAATTGGCAGCGACTCACACATGTAAACATTCTCTATTGTTCGGGGCATCGTTTCTTGTCCTATTTCCAGCTTCAGGAATGTTTGTAGGAACTGGCTGGAAGTCCATGGTCAACCATGACTGACCTTGCACCACTGTTCCATGCAGGACACCACGGTGTGCCTTCTCGCCCTAACCAGATACATGAAGTTAACTGGCTCTAACTCACAAAACACCGTCACCGTGAACACTGAAGAATCTGAGGAGGTTTTCACTGTCGACAATGATAACCGCCTTGTGGTACAGCGCTCAAAATTATCCAAAGGGCACGGACAGTACACGGTGGCTGTAGAAGGAGAAGGCTGTGCGTTTATCCAGGTAATGGAAGCCCTCCTCAGAGGGAGAACTGAGCTTGCCTGTAAGAATTCAGATCCCTGTTCAGTTACATGTGAAGTGTTTTGTCATTTTGACTCTTCCTGTAATTATCTCTACTTCCCTCACGTTTTTATAATCAATAGCAGAAAATACAAGCTATGTTATATAGAAGTTATTCACATTTTTATTCATTTTAAAGTTAAGACACAGAGGGACTAGAGGATGATTCAGTGATTAAGAGTACTGGCTACTCTTGTAGAGGACACTGAGTTTGATTCTCAGCGTCTACGGTTACAACTCCAGTTCCAAGAGATCTGATGCCCTCTGCTGGCCTCCTTGGGCACTGCACACAAGTGGTGCATGGATGCAGGCAAAACACCCGTACACATGAAATAAAATAAATAAGTCTTTAAAAAATAATAAAGTTGCCATGCAGAGTAACAGGTTTCATGATAGCACTTTCATGCATGTTTTGTTCTTATTTGTCTTTCTTCTCTTTTATGTCATATGTACTCCATTATCCCCTCCCAAACAAGAGCTCTTCTCTCCATTTCATGATCCTCTTTCTAGTCTCCTCTCTCCCTCCGTCTTTCTCTCTCCATACACATGTACACTCACATAAGCACAGATATACAAATTAAACCATTTCATGATCCTCTTTCTAGTTTTTTTTCTCTCTCTCCCCCTCCCACTCTCCCTCCCTCTCTCTCACCATACACATATACATTCACATAAGCACAGATATGCAAATTAAACATTTTTGTGAATTAAATTCATTCTTAGACAGTTTTGCATAAGCACAGCTAGCTAACAGAAGTTTCTTAGGGAATACTGCTGGTAGGAAGTATCCCATCCTCATCAAATTACATCATCATGCTGTGTCTCATGAAAATTACATTTAGTTTATCCTGGTCCCCTGATGATAGCGATGTAAAGTACATTAGTAATGGAGTTAGATATTCAACAGGTCCTTCGGTTCTTACTACAGATTCTTTGTAAAATGTTATCCTTTCCAGGCCACCCTCAGGTACAATGTGCCACTTCCTAAGAAGGCATCAGGATTTTCCCTTTCCTTAAAAATGGGGGAAAGCAACTCTTCAGATGTAATCCAGACTAAGTTTGACCTCACAGTGACCCTCGAGTAAGTATAATATCTTGATATCCACTTCTAGGTTAGAGAGTTACATCAAAGAATTATTTCAAGTAGGACTGAAGAAAAGCAAGTTTGAATGATGGTGACTATGGTGAGTCACGTGTTGACAGGTGATATTCTACACCACAGTTACTTCACTCCTGGTTCAGTAGCAGATCTTCAACAAGATCCATCTATGCATATGTGGTTCACACTCCTCAGCTACAACCTGGGAGCTGTTGCCTTGCTGACAGATCAACAGTGTGGAAGATCTCCTCCAGTGTTGGGCAAATCTAAAGCTGACAGGAACCTACATAACATAAACACGGAAATTTTGTCTGTAAATTTCGACTTTGCGAGATTGAGGAAACTTTACATCCACAGACTTCATCATCTGTACCAGCTAATGTCAGATCATACACTTGTCATCTCGTCCACTGTGATGCAGCTGTGATTATTCTTTGACATTGGAGAATGAAGTTTTCCAGCTCCTTCCCTTCCAGCCTTTGCCAGCTCTCCAGACACCATGCTTATTGATGTATCTGTTCGCCTGCCACCCTCACTGAGAGAGCTCATGTTTCTAAATCCATGTAGAAATGCGTTTGCTTTTTCGTTCCAGGTATACGGGAACTCATGAAAGCTCCGATATGGTCCTTGTGGATGTGAAGATGCTCTCTGGGTTTACTCCTGTCCTATCATCCATCCAAGAGGTAAATAAGAGTGGCCCTGTTCACTAGCACAGAGAAAATGGGAATACATAAGAAAAAAAAATCAAACTAAATAATGGAATCCTTCATCCAAGCATATGTCTTCAGATTTCACATGTGTCTTTTGTCTGTACTGGAAGAGGAGAAACTATATTCTCCTCCCCCCCACCCCCGAGACAGGGTTTCACTGTGTAGCTTTGTACCTTTCCTGGAACTTGCTTTGTAGACCAGGCTGGTCTCAAACTCACAGAGATCCACCTGGCTCTGACTCCCGAGTGCTGAGATTAAAGGCGTGCAAACTATATTCTTATTCTGCAGTAATGTACAGTCATTATGCCCATGGTTCATCATGTATTTCCTTACCCAGTTCCCTCATATACTCACAGAAACACTGAGGTACCAAGGGACGTTTCCCTAAATAGAAGGCGCAGTGTTCATTTCTGGAGGGGGACTCTCAGATATTCTAATGCCTGATCCTTATCCCTTCCTGTCAATCTCTTCCAAGCTTAAACACAACGGCCAAGTAACGAAGACAGACATAAAGAAAGGCCACGTTCTTCTCTACTTAAAAGATGTAAGTTCAGCAGCAATAGTTTTTTCTTTCATGCTTTGTCTCTGAGTTTTATTTCATTGTCTTCTGAAGGATGTTTGAAAACTTCTATTTATCATAGCTGTGTGTGAAAGAGCGTATTGTTTTAATGAGATGTTGAGTATAGTCAGTGTTCTGTCTCACTAATCATGTCCTTTGTATTAACCAGTTATTTCATGTAAGCATGGTTGCCTGACGAGATAGTTCTCATATTTAGAGGCATCTTCATTCCTTACAGAATGTAATGGAGTCATTTACAAAGACAAATAATTAATTCTTCTACAACTTGAACTCCAATGAAGGATAACATGATTTTTTTATTGTTTAAACTGTGTATATTTAAAATGTATACTGTGACATTTTGATATACATATGCATTTCAGATTAATTATTATAAACAAGCAAACAACCCTCTCTTCATATAATTACCTTTTTAGTATAATACTCTACAATTTATTCTTACTGAGTTCCATACACATATACATCATATTTTAATCATAGTCACTCTTTATTCCCCACACCACCTCCCAGGAACCTTACACACACACACTCCCTCCAAACTTCATGTCCTTTTTTTTAATAACCCATGGGTCTAATTAGTGCTACTCATATGCACATGGGTATGGAACATGCACATTGTAGCATGGTCAACCTACCAGAGACCACACCCCTAAAAAAACTGACTCTCCCTGACCTAGCAGACTTCCTTTGTCAATAGTGAAAGCTGTTCTTCTTCTAACATGCCAAATAATTTCCTATTGTATGCATACTGCAGTTTCTATATCCACCAATCTGTTGATAAACAGACACGGGTTATTTCAGGTTATTTCTATACCTTGGCAATTGTGACCAATGTTGAAGTGAGCATGGCAGTGCCTTTTCAAGATAATAATCTAATTTATCTTGGATGCATCCTCACAAATAGGCTTTCTGAGTCATATAGTAATTCTATTTTTATTTTGGGGGTTGAGGAACTCCAAACCGTGATGTGAATTTTAGAGCCTTCCTTTTTATGCACACATCATTCCTACTCACACAAGCCGACAATTCTCTAATGTGTTCACCTAGGCAGTGTGACTCAAGTGTTTACATGATTTAATGTCAGCTGACTCGCTATTTTGCTATTCTATAAGATAGTGGTGGGCTTTCTGGTTTTAATTAGGTAGGTCATGAGCTTGTGGAGTAAGTTTCTCGGTGACTTTGTTTTTTCAGACCTACTAGGACTTGCTTATCATTCATGTCTTTTTAGGTTCCCAGGGCACCAACCAGTGTCACCTTCTCTGTCGAGCAAACCAACATTGTGTCCAACATCCAGCCAGCCCCAGTCACGGTCCAAAGTTATAAGAAAGGTAAGCAACCACGTCACAGCTGTCGGACATGTCTGTAGCTCACACTCTGAGCCACTGCATTCCCCCAAATCATCACTGTCTGTCTTCAAAAAGTGAACAAGTGATGGTTTTCTGTTGTGTAACATTTTTTTAATTCCGTGAAGTGGATTCTGACTGTGCCAGTTCCCAAAGTATCCTAACACTTGGCGTCTCTTTGATGAATTGTGAAGACTCACCCTTCACTTGAAATACAAACAATGCTAACCTTCTAAACCTTTCTCTGTTGTCATTACTGGATCAAAGATTGACTATTGCATGCGGCTTCTCTGGTTTTGACTTAAGAATGGAAGTGAAAACCTTAACAGAAAAAATATATTGGATTGTGTTTCAAAACACTTAGTGTGTTGTGGAGACCGTGACACATCCCCTGGAAGGCCAGCTCGGAAAAATCTGTCAAGGCGTAGATAACACACTCTGTCCTTGCTGACTTAATGGATTCCATCACAGAACTTACCTTAGGAGAATATTTAAGGATTGACAAATGCATGAGGGATTACTTCTCTTGAAAACGTATTGGAAAGATACAATTTAACGTATTTGTATGGCCTGCCACAGTCTAGTTACACACAGTTGGAGACTTGATAAAGACAGATACTCTTCTTATTTTTCAGATGAATATGCCCTTGATTCTTACAGCATCGATAACATTTCGGATTCCCAATAAGACAAAGCAGAGCATAGAGAAAAGTAAGGATATTGTGTTGAAGCCTTCACAGCGATGCATATGCTTCTTAAAAATCTCTCATTTTTATGAATAATTTGACAGGTCATAAATATATATGTACACATGCTTATATATCAGCATGTATGTTATATTTATAGATTCATATATATGTATGTATGTATGTACATATAGAGACATATACATTTGTGTATTCATTGTTAAAACTGTCTTATTTCCAGGTAGGAAACTATTTCTTTGAATAAACTATTCTCCTGGTCACCATCCTGAAAGAGAGCCATGACCAAGCACCTCACATCCTGAAGAGTCTTCAATCACAGTGACTTCCTGACAGCTTCAGTTCCTTTTTTCCCATTAAATGACATCATTTCAAGTCTGGGGCCATTGTTTTCTGTTCTTCCTACTTTTCATTATGGAAATCTCAGGGCTTTGTGAGTGCCACTGAATAATCTGCTTTATTTTTTTTTTCAACTTTAAACTCAAGTTTGGGCACCTCAACTATACAGAAATAGACTCCTCCAAAACCCAAAGAGGGAGAGGACTAGGTAGAAGTGAAGGTGGGGAGATTCGGTTAAAGTTAAAAAGGACTCTGTCAGCTCGACACAGAAACACACACGATAAAGCGTTCTCCGGGAATGATCAGAAATCGGGGCAGGTGGGAAGCAGAGAAGAATCCCGAATTAAGTGATTTATTGAGTACAGGATTGAGAGGCTAACTGCAGGGCATTTTGTCGTTTTAAAAACTGTTTACGGCTTCAAGCGTGACACTTGTACCAGGAAAGCGATACTGTATGTCTACTCTTGGTCTGACTCAGTGTTCCTGCTGTGGTAATAGATTTCAGGTGAGGACAAGAAGGTGGGAAGAAGCTGGAGAAAATGCTAGAAACGAAAAGTTTGTGTATCAACTTTAACATGGGCTTCTGGAATCACTAAGATTCTTCACAGACGAGAGTAAGCTACCAAGTTCTGCAGTTGTGCAGTTAAAGATTTGGAACCAAGATCTCCTAGAGCAGAAGTCCTCAACCTTCCCGATGCTGCGACACTTTAACACAGCTCCTCATGCTGTGGTGACCCCCAACCATAAAATTATTTTTGTTGCTACTTTATAATATGTTTGCTGGTGTTATCAATCGTAATGTAAATATCTGTGTTTTCTTATTTTTTTAAAGATTCCCTTTTTGTTTTCCTGTTGTTTTTCAAGACAGGGTTTCTCTGTATAGCCTTGGCTGTCCTGGAACTCACTCTGTAGACCAGGCTGGTCTCAAACTCAGAGATCCATCTGCCTCTGCCTCCCAAGTGCTGTGACTAAATGTGTGCACCACCATGTCCGGCTAATATCTGTGTTTTCTGATAGGTTTGGGCCATCCCTGTGAAAGGGTGGCTTGACACCCTCCAGGGGACCATGACCCACGGGTTGAGAACAACTGTCCTAGACTACCAGGATACAACAAAATTTGAAAATATAAAGTATTTAGGTGGTTAGCTGTGCTTCCTCGTTTAGTTCCTCTGCTCAGGGTATCATGATCACAGTACATTTAACCTACACACATTTAACCATGTGCCCGTTGACTGGCATCACAGTGAGCACTTGCCCCCAACTGTGTAAGAGATTAAGCTTATTCCACTTAGTTAAGATTCGGTTCTTCTATTTTATCAAACACAGCAAGTCTAGTATGTAAGCAGGCCATCAGCACTCATAAAAATATCAAAACAAATAAACACAGTCTGCCTGAATACTCAAAGATTCCACTCAAGGAAAATATACCTCTTATAGCATAACATTTCCAAGAAAATTTAGGCATTTTGCTTTTTGTTGTTTTGATATGTTTATGGGAAACATCTTTTTTTTCCTAAACGAAGGTCAGTTCTCAGTGTATTTGTGTATTCAGTAGTTACATCGGACATCCAATAGAGTGGTTTCTCAAATTAGAGGCATGGAAGAAGGGCCTGGTGATGACAATAGACAGTTGGCCAATTGTTGATCCGCCTCCTGAAGGCTGATGGAGGGCTCTTTGCTTCTGTTGACCATGTCATGCTGACCTAGTTACAGAGTCCTAGTCTTGAGTGTTGACAGTGGATGAACACTCCCTTGATGTAACATGAATTGCTAAAAGGTCTTATTAATAAAAAAAAAAACCAGAGCCAGATATTGGGGTTAAAACCTGAGAGATCAGAGGAATAGGAAAAGCCATGCCAACCTCACCTTACCAGCCCTCAGTCTCCAAAGAGACCTACTTCCTGTACACCCATGCCTATATGCCTTTCTATTCTGCCATCTCATTTCCTCTCTCTGCTCAGCTACATCACTTCCTCTTTCTGCCCAGCTCTGTCACCTTGATGTGTGACTGTCAATGAAAGCATAGGAACAGCCACCCCTGTAGTCTTACCTTCTGATGGGAAAGATAAACAGTATGTTTATAATGTAATCAAACAATGCACACAGACATAATGGATAAACATAATAGAGATATGAGAAAGTGATAAATGTTGTGGGAGATGTAAAGTCAGAGGATCCAGAACAGGGAGCTGGGGACAGGAAAGACTAGAATTTAGGGATAAACATTTGAGATGCGACTTTAGGGATAATCTCATGCAGCAACGACATTCAAGCAAGGGCCTGGAGTAGGAAAGGGACCTCAAGACCTAGATATCTCAGGAAAGATTATTCCTGGTTATAAGATTCCAGGAAAAGAAACAGACTCACAAGGTAGAGATGTGCTCTGTGGCCAAGGAAGAGCAACTAAGTGTGAACAGAGCAACAGAAGAAATCAAGGATGGGCACCAGATGCCAGACCACTTAGGGGACTGAGGGTCATCGCTAAGACTCTAGCTTTCTCTCTGTAAAAAGCTGTAACTCATTGCAGGGTTTTAGAGAGAAGAGGTACCTGACTGGTTGGTCTAATATGATCACCTCACCACAGTTATTGAGGACAACCTGTAGAATCACAACAATTTGGAGGGAATATTACTTACACATTGTGTGTGTAGTGTGTAGTGTGTGTGTGTGTGTGTGTGTGTGTGTGTGTGAATGTATTCAATAGATACATATATACATCTATATGTATATATATGAACACATCTAAAGAGTATGAAAGACATGTGCAATGGAAACTTTAAGGCTGTATTACACGGTATTTTCCTTCTCCAAATTGAAACAGTCCTTCCAGTATAGAAAGGAAGGCTCATGAGCCTCGGAAGGGAAACAAAAGTTCACATCTCCAAGAAAGCAAAAACTTAAAAGATTTTTGAGGCCCCTACCCAGCAGTGCAAAATGAATAAAAAAATTTCTGGGGCGTGGAAACTCCACCAGCTGTGGAAAGAAAAGATTGTGGTGGTATTTTGTGAATGCTCTAATAAATAGAGCTTGCCTGAAGATCAGAGGGCAAAGCTAGCCACTAGTTAGGCATAGAGGCCAGGCTGTGGTGGCACACACCTTTAATCCCAGCACTTGAGAGGAAGAGGCAGAAATATGAGGAGTTCAAGGCCACTCTGAACTACACAAGATTGATCCAGTCTAAAAGAGAAACAGAGCCAGGCAGTGGTGGCTCACACCTTTAATCCTAGCACTAAGGATCCCATACCTTTGCTCCCAGTTCTAGGAAGGCACACATGCCTTTAATCCCATCACTAAGGAGGTTGAGACAGGAAGTGATGAGGCTGAGTGGAGAAAAGGAATGTAAGCAGGGAGGAGACAGGAGCTCAGTCTCTTTTTGGCTGAGGACTTGGTGAGGTGAGAGGTGGCTGTGGCTTGTTCCTTTGTCTCTCTGATCTTTCAGCATTTACCCTGATATCAGGCCCTGGGTTTTTATTAGGACTGATTAAGATTTGTGCTACAAAAGATGTTAAGCCCTGTGCCTGCGGGTGTGTAAAGAGCTCCAGGGATACAGTTTTTAGGAGCTGTCACCATGAGGGTGGCCTTTCTAGAGAGACAGCTACTTTTGAATTATCCCTCTCCCTGGAAGCAACCCCTCACCTATATTCCTGTTAGTAACCCCAATAAAAAACTCATTTGTGGTGATTTAAATAAGAATACCCCCCTACAGGCTCATTATAAAAAGCTTCCATCACCAGGGAGTGGAACTCTTTGATAGAATTAAAAGGATTAAGATGTATGGCCTTTGTTGAAGGAAGTGTGTCACAGGAGTGGCCCCCACCCACCTCAATCAATCTCTCCTCTCTCTCTCTCTCTCCTCTCCTCTTCTCTCTCTCTTTCTCTCTCTCTCTCTCTCTCTCTCTCTCTCTCTCTCTCTCTCTCTCTCTCTCTCTCTGCTTGTGGGTTAGGATGTAGCTGTCAACTACTTCTTCAGTGTCATATGTGCTGACACGCTCCCTGCCATGATGATAATGAACTAAACCTCTGAAACTGTAAGCAAGCCCCCAAGTTAAATGCTTTCTTTTATAAGAAATAAACTAGTGACTAATAGTTTGGAACCAGGGACTGGGGTATTGCTGTGACAGACCTGCTCCTGCTGTTTGATGGAGGAATGTGGAAGACTGTGGGACTAGTGGACTAGAAAAGTGGTTGGAAGCCTTAAGTGGGGCTTAATGGGCCTTCCTCGCAAGAGCATGGGAGACAGTGCAGAGGGTAATTTGAACTGTGCAGGCCCAGCTCAAGAGGTTTCACGGGGAAAGAATATTAATAAGTGACCTAGAGATTGTTCTTGTGATATTTTCGTGAAATATGACTGTTTTCTGCCCCTGCCCAAAAAAATCTGCCTGAGGTTAAATTGAAGAGTTTTAGATTAGTGATACGGCAAAGGAGACTTCAGGAAAACCAGATATTGACTGTGTCATGTGGTTGGTTATTAGTGATCCCTTTCATGCTGATCTATAATAATGAAAAGGAGCAAATTGGACAAAAAGAAAGACAAGCTGTACAATTTGAGAAGAAAAGGAGCACCAGGAAGTGCAATAAAGCTAAGTCCAGTGCTCAAGAAGATGAAAATTTTCAAGAAAAACCTGATTCTAAATGAAATAAAGGG